CTGCTTCTTTCGTGTGAAAAAAAAATTTTTTTTCGTTGTTTATTATTGTTATTATTTATTTCTGATTAGTCAGTGCATAATAAGCTCGAAACACTCGAAAATTGTTTCGTTAGATGTTTCTTTCGTGTCAAAAAGTTTTTGTTTTCATTGTTTAGTATTGTTATTATTTATTTCTGATTAGTCAGTGCATAATAAGCTCGAACCACTCGAAAATTATTTTGTTAACTGTTTCATTCGCTTGAAAAAATTTTTTTTTCATTGTTTATTATTTATATTTATTTCTGATCAATTTGTGTATATTAAGTTTAAACTGCTCGAAAATTATTTCGCTAACTCTCTTGTCTTTTTTTTTTCTTTCTTATTTTATTTCATAATTTTTTTGTTTTTATTATTCAATTTTGATTAAACTGAGCTCGAATCACTTAATCACTCAAAATATATTTCATTAGATAATATTTCCATTTATGTGTAAATTTCATTTTTTTATTTATTATTTATTTTTCTTTTACTATTTATTTTTGGCTTATCTGTTCATATTAAGTTCGAACCACTGAAAAGGTATTCTGGTAAATAAGGTTTCATTTTATGTGTAAAATTGCTTTTCTTTTATATTATTTCTTTACTGTTATTATTTATTTCTGATTAATCTGTACAGAATGTGCTCTTACCACTCCAAAATTATTTCGTTGATTATTTTTTCTTTTGAGTGGAAAGTTATTATTATTATTTTTTAATTTTATTTCATAAATTTTTTTAATGTTATTATTTGTTTCGAAATAATCTGTGCATCTTAATTTCTAATCACTTGAACTTCGTTAACAAATGTTTCGTTAGGGTATAAAATTGCTTTTTTTACTTTTGTTTTATTTTTATTTGTTAATATTTATTTCTGATCAATTTGTGCATCGAAAGACTCGACCTTTTGAAAAATATTTTGTTAAACATTTAATTTTTGGCGAAATTTTTTTCCTCTTTTTACTACTATAATTAATTTGTGCATTTCAAGTTCAGACTCCTCAAAAAATATTTCGTTTAACGATGTTTCATTTTGTGTGCAAAGTTGTTTTCTTCCTTTTTTAATTATAATTATTACTTTTTCAAATCAAATGTAAATTTTTTTATATTTTTTTTTTTTAATTTTTTTTTTAATGTTGAAAAAGGCTTTCAGAAAATATTTCCTTCAATTTTTCATTTTGTATGTAAAATTACTTCATTATTTCTACAATTTTTCAGCGTATTTTTCAAGTTAGCAACTCTCGAAAAATATTTCGTTTATAAATGCTTCATTCTGTGAAATTTTTTCTCTTCAAAACTTTGAAATCTAGAAAAATTGTTCTAGAGGTCAATGTGAAGAGGTCAACAATGTTTCATTCTGTGTGTAACATAATTTTCCCGCAATAATTCAAACAATTTTTCAGTTTCTCAATACTTTTAGATCTTATTTAGATGTAGCTGATTGAGTAATTACATAATATTGAATAATAACAGTGTGTCCCCCTGCAAAGTTTATAATGCAAAGTGCTATAATGTAAACCATATTTATATGATTCTTAACAGATTAGAAACATTATAAAAATGGTAAAATTAGTAGGGAAAATTTGGTAAAGAACCTTCAATTTAAAAAAAAAACAATTAAGTTGATCAAGTACTTATTATAAAAGTGCTTAGTCACTACTAACTACTTATTTTATCTATATAACTGCATAAATTATAAAATACTTGTATCTATACACGTTATAAAATACTTGCATACATAGAATTTTATAAAGTAAGTTTATATTGAGTGGTTAAATCGTATTGAAATAAAGTATATTTTTTGCATAAAAGCTTGAAAATTTAGGAAAATAACTTTTGATTTAATAATCTGATTTAAACGTGGTAATATGCAATCGTTATGTTTTGAGAAACCTTAAACATACTAGTTAATCTTTGCAGACGATATCTTAAGTTACTTAATTAATTTGCTTTTTTTTCTTAAGCACTGTACATATATTCATCTGGTGTTAATGCTCCAAAAATTTACTTTTATCATTTTTGAAACTTATTACAACTGATTTAGGTGTTTCTGAAAAATTCTTTCAAGCAAGAACACAGCAGAATTTACATAGCCAGTCTGTATCGCTGTTATTCATGAATTCAAATTTGTCTTCAAACCTATCACAGTAATACAAAGCTAGTTATTTTTATTTTATAACCGTCGTTGAAAAGCCGACCCAATTTCGGGTTTACGACTACCAATGTTCAACTCCGTAACCTTGTAGTTTTACACCTAATCCAGAAGACGAAGGAACTCCTGGATCAAGTATTGGGAGAAATTTGCCTTCGTGGGGGACTTTTTGATGGAACTAACCCGCATTTGCCTTACATGGAGAGGAAAACCGCAAAAACCAACCACGGTTAGCCTGACAGCAAAGGATTGTTACACGTTAGTTTTAAGTGTCATTTTCAGTTAGTCGTACAATTTCATAGGCTCCCCAGTTATAAAAACTCCGTACTTCAAAATCAGTCCATTCATTAAAATCAGAAGAATTTCAACTATAACGTATCAAAATTTCACCTAAATAGTCTGGAACACGATTCCCATATAAATGCGGGGTCCTTTGTTATCATAAGTTAAAGAATTTTAATAATTGAAAGTTACTATAAAATGAAATAAGTAGATAAATGAATTAAGTTACTGTAAGCGTCTATAAGCAGTCAACTCGATCTTTCAGAAATTAATAATTTATTTTTAAATTATTTCCTGCCTTTCAAATTCTTTACTTTTCAAAAAATATGTGACTCTTTATTCCACTCCCATGCATATGAATGACCTCTGGTCATAAGGTCAGTGGGTGAGGAGCACCAAAAGAGTCCCTCCCCTATTGTTGGGGAGGGAAAGGTTTAAAATGAGAAGAAGACTCTCTTGTGAGGAATTATTGTGGACAGATGAGGATCGAATTAGAAATATAGAGATGACATGGAAAATAATATAATAAAGATAAAGAAGATAAGAAATAAATTATTAAAATAAAATATTTTTAAAAATATATAAAAAGCTTTTTTTATTTAAAAAAAAAATAAAATGCCGGTAAATAAAAAAATGAAAATACATAATCTTGTCATCAGCTCACACGATTATATCCGCAAAAAGGAGTGCTTTCTAATATTGTGTAAATACAGTTAAAGCAAAATATCTCAATACATTAGTGGGAGGAACACCCAAAAAATGCAACCAAAATAGAACCTATTAAGCAAAAAATATACGAAATAAAACATACTGAGCAATAAATAGAAAATAAAATGCGAGAAAAGTGCAGAATAAAATATAAAATGTAATCGATAAAGAGAGTAACGAATTCCAATGAAGTTACATGTTTCGGAATCTTTCAAGAATGATTTAAAATATTTTCGTATTAAGTTTTTCAGATTACAAAATACGAAAATAGAAGCGTAAATAGAGGGCTCTTTTATGGAGTGTTCTTACTGCAGTACTGAAGCGCGTTTGGGTTGTTAGTTACCTTGCATTGGCCCCCGAAAATGTTTGTGCTCAATGTAATAATATTATACTGAGCAATTCAAAGTTTATAATTAATATGGTTGAGCCGTGATGGCTCAGGGGATAAAGCGCTAGCCTTCTAATGAGAAGGACTAGGTTCAAATCCCAGCGATATCTGGTCAATACGATTTCCGCATTCGGCTTGTGCCGACTACAGTTCTGACGCGAAATATCCTCAGTGGTAGACGGATCATGGGATAGAGTCCCCTTGCCGTCAGGCTAACCGTGGGAGGTTCTCGTGGTCTTCCTCTCAATGTAACGCGAATGCGGGTTAGCTCCATCAACAAGTCCTCCACGAACGCAAATTTCTCCCAATACTCGATCCAGAAGTTCCCTTGTCTTCTGGATTGGGTTCAAAATTACAAGGCTATGTAGTTGAACATTAGTAGCCGTAAACCCATAAAATTGGGTCGACTGTTCAACGACGGTTATAAAATAAAATAAAACATCGCCAAAGATGTTTCTTAAAACTTTATTTCTAAAACTACAATTTTATGTTCTCCATTTTTAGTTAACCTGAATCATGCATCAGAATCAGCCTAATCTGAATTTTATGCATAAAAACTTTTTTTCTCGGTATAGAAAATGCGATCTATCTCAGTAGCGTGCAAAGCCCTAGAGTGCTCTAAATAAGACTTTTAAGACCGGGATACCCTGGTTGGTAGGGCATTGGGCCCATGTCCAAAAGTGCATGGGATCGATCCCCGCCGGTCGAAGACTCCCCATGTAGTAAATGGTGACTGATGCATGTTAAATCTGTCACAAGTTTTCCATGTTCCCATAGCAAATCATACCTCTGGGAGTACTGATACAGGAGTTTCCTTGTCTTCTGGATAGGTTCGAAATTACAAGACTACGGAGTTGAACATTAGTAGTCGTATAGTTGGTAGTGGGTAGGCGGTTCAACGACGGATATAAAATATAAACTAACACATTTGAAGTAAATGCATCAAAATTATAAGATTACATATCAGCATGTAAAAATACGATCATTAAATTAAAAGTTATTCAGTTTTTCCGTTTTTTATTTTGTGCTCAATGTAGCAGATTGAGACATTTAATGCAATATTTCTTTAAAATTTATTTTACAAAAATAAATGTTTTAAATGTCGATTCAAATATTGTCACTATAAATATTAAGCACGAATTAAAAATGATCACCAATATAGTTTATTTATTCATTTCTTTTCCAGGTAGATCAGAAAATGAGAGATATCAAAAGGTACCGTCGCTATTGTGGAAATGTGTTTCAAGCTTCGTGTTTGCTTATAACGGTATATTTGTTCGTGTACTTTGCAGAGATGCTGATTAAGTACTTCTTTATAGAAGAATACAGATATCCATACTCATATCCTTTTTTGATTATCGTAGTGTACACAGCACTACTTCTACAATATGCTCTTGTAAGTATAACCATTACAACATTGGTGATAAATTATTTATGTGACAATAATGATGTTAAGAATGTTCTAAGTTTTAGTGCCAAGGAAAATATACAAATAGCCACCGTTTAAACACCCTTAAATGGTGTTTTGAAGCTCTTTCACCAAGAAAAATGAAAAAGCCACTGTTTAAGTGCTTAACACTGGTAGCAAAGCTAGAATTTTGAGCTATCTATGCCATCTTGTCATGAAGAATTGTCAGGGGTTAGATCGGACAGATAACTAGAATGTTTTAGAAGTCATTAAACTTTTAAAGATCGCCAATTCGGAGACATTTTTCTACCTAGTTTAAAATAATTATTCAAAACCAATGCCTTAATCTCATTTTTTCTCTCAAATTTTTATCAGCCTAAATAAGTATTGGAGTAAGTTTTTAATTATGACGTGCCACACGTGCTGTTAATTTTCTCACAACTGTGATTTTTCATCATATTGATGCTTTGCGCCGTTTTTAGAATAAGCATAGAGGGCTCTAGTTAAATATAGTTTGAACTAACAATCATAATTAACTGTCATAAACTCACACCAGAAACATTATACAATTCGTAAATATACATCATTCCATGCGATCCGACGACAAAGCTTTTGAAGAGCAGTCTGAAATTTGATGCAAATCTATAGTTTCAAACTATACGTGCCATCTTGCACTAAACAATAACTGTACTTAAAAACGCGCAATAGTTAAAGTTTTTAAAAAGTTACTAAATGTTTCTTAAAAAAAAACGAAAAAAAAAAAGAAATTGCTCTTTTTTTCATTCTCCCATTTAGAAAAGAAATATTCAAAATTTTTGAAAATTATTATGAGTCCAGACATTGCAGCTTCAAAGTAACTTTTTGTCATGATGTCGCCTTTTTCTCAATATCTCAAAAATATAATCAAATATATAATCAATCAAATATATAATCACAAAGGTTTTTTATTTCCTCATTTTAAGATTTTGCGCCATTTTTACGATTAGTTTATGTATAGAAGGCGCTAGCTGAAGATAGACAAAACCTAGCCTAATAGTCATGAATGAGTATTAAAAAATAGAAAAAATAATCTGTAAAAATACACCATAGTAACTTGGTCTCTTTAGTACACAATTTATTTCAATTTTCATTGATTTTACAGTATTTAAGTTTGGAGAAACATAATTCAAAAGATAACTACATAGCTGCCAAAATACCAAGGTTGAGAATAGTCATTTATATGCTGTTCAAATTGATTTTTCTCGAGCTTAAATGATGCAAAATCTCAAAAACAAAATTATTAAAGAACGAGCAATTGGTGCCCGTTTTATATTAAATTGAGCCACAAGCAAGCAAATACATATCACTAATTTTATCTGATGAATAATTTTTTTAAAAAAAAAACTGAATCGTAATTAAAATTGTTTTATTCTAAGATCGGAGGCGGGATTTGCACCTTGAACCAAATTAACTTGTTTCAAAACACTAGCACAAACTGTTTTAATGTTATGGGAGAAATACACTGAGACACAAATTCTTCGTTACCTTAAATGTAATATCTCAAGGGAAAAAAATGAAGCGGAAAGATATATTTGATTAGATAAAAATACCATTTTCTCCAAAAACTTATCGACGTGGTAAAAGTCAACATGTTTGAGTGCTCAAAAGAGATTAGCGCATCGCAATAGCTCTCCCAAGAGCATCCCAAGCGTTTTCAATAGGATTCAGGTCAGGGGATTTGGCTGGCCAATCCACTCGTTGAATATCCTCGCTTTCCAGATGCTCATCAACATATATGGCAACGTTACTTTTAAAAAGTAGCGAGTAAAAGTGCAAGTATTTTTAAAAAAAGTAAGGAGTAAAAAGTGCAAGTAAAAGTACTAGTACTAAGCAAAAAAAGTAACGATTTAAAAGTACATTTCTAGGAAATCGAAAATTCAAAGTAACCTAAAATTTTATTGAATAATATTCTTATGCTCTTTAAAGTTTTTGCCAAATTGTTGTCATTTATTTAATTATTTTTAATTTTGAAAGTTATGGATTTAAATTTATTTTTAAATTCGAAAGAATATTATAATATAATTTTATAATATAATCGTATAATATAATTTTAAAATCAAATATAATTTTAATATCAAACTTTTTATGGATTTGCACGAAAAAGAAATTTTATCTATTGATTTTAATTTTTGGTTTATTATTTTTATTTATTTAAATTACCATTGATTGTTTTACTCTTTAGAATTGTTTTATTCTTTAGAAACGCGTTTTAAAAGCGCAAGCATAACCAAAGCAAACACGGGGTTTCAGATAGCTTTGTGATCTTTTAGCTGGTAAAAAATAATTGAATGTGCAGTATAAGTTGACACAGAAGGTATTTAAACACGAAGTTAGCTGTGAATGCATATATATTGCACATAAATTTTATAAATTAAAAAAACATAAGTATTTTTTTTAATACGAAGCTTACCGAGTTTTAGAAAAAACTAACGATTTCATTCAATATTTGCGTTACAAATACTTGTACTTTTTCCCTAAAAAAGTAACGAAAGTACAAGTAAAAGTACTAAATTTAAAAAGTAATGAAGTACACGTAAAAGTACGTACTTTTTACTTGTACCGGCGGTACAAGTAACGAAAGTAAAAGTACTGCCATATATGCTCATCAACCATGAGAGCTCTATATGGTCGCGCATTGCGTCCATAAAATGAACTCAGGGCTAACAGCGCCTCTGAAAAGACGCACATAGGGCTCTAGGACCTCCTGCCTGTACCTCTGGGCATTCACGGAACCATTGTCAAACACATGGAGTGGTGTACGGGTATCTTGCAAGTGCGAATATATGTGCGAAAATGCTTTCCATATCTTAATTTCGTCCATAGTGTATATAGTGAATAATTTATGCTTGTGGTAATCACAGATGGATAATTTTTTTGAAAAATAAAGCAGAAATGAAGAAGTTTTGCTACCATAATTTAAATCTTTGTGTGAATTGCAGAAAATTCAAAAACGTATATATACGGGACCAACTTGAAGTGTGTTTTCCTTTTATTATTTAACATAAAGTGCGGTTTGTTTGTTTTTTCTATTTTTTTACTTATTTATCTTCAATTAAAAATTGTCTTTGCTTGACGCTTAAAATGTTTTTAACACTTGATTTAAAATTGCATCATTTCCAAGAAGTTGTAATTGTTTTGTTTTTAAATTTGTTTTTTTTTTATAGAGTTTCGTACGACCGGAGAAGTACCACGCATTCAGAGCTTTAGCAGAACGCTTTGATTTTCGTTCTAATAATATTCCATGGATGCTTATAGTGAAGACCCATATCAGAATGTGGACTCTTTCTTGCATGAGCTTCATTATTTACAAAATGGAGGAACACTATGGAGTAAAAAATGGTCTTGCTAGAAACGTTAGCTTTGCTGTCACATCTCACTGGCTTTTTGGATATGTGAATTATTTGATGAATGTAAGTACTCACCCTATTTTACAGTGAATAATAAAAAGCTGGGAATATATCAATTTAATAGTTCCTGAGAAAATTAAATGAACAGTTCCTACATATCCATTTACGGGAAGAGAATAGGAATGGGTAGATGCAGATTGTTTCAGTTACATTAAGCTTTGAGATTTATAAATAAGGCATTTCAATTATATATTCATATGATTTTAATTTACAAAAATGAAGTGGAATAAATCGATTAAGTAGTTCCTGAGAAAAGTAAATGAACAGTTCCTACATTTCCATTTACGGAAAGAGAATAGGTATGGGTGGATGTGGATTGTTTCAGTTACATTAAGCTTTGAGATTTATAAATAAGGCATTTCAATTATATATTCATATGATTTTAATTTGCAAAAATAAAGTGGAATAAATCGATTAAATAGTTTTTGATAAAATTTAATAAGCTGTTCCCAAATATACATTAGCAGAAAGAGTGGAGATGTGGTTCAAGTGGCTTATTTCAGTTGCATTTACATAGGTGGCAAATTTCTGTCCTTGATATAGAATAAGAAAAAGCGCTTGATAATTTTCAGAACTTCGATAAACGTTCTCTCAAAACTTTTAAGCAATATATCGATGCAATTAGTAGTTTTGAGTTAATCATATAAAACTACACGATTCTAGGTTGTTAGACTAACTTTATTACAGTTTAAACTGATGAAAACTGATTTGGATGACGCTGAAAAATTCTTTTAGCGTTAATTGCATAAAAACAAGGGTACTTATCAAATATCTAAAAAAAGGCAATAATAAACTATTTAAATATCCATCAAAAATGTTCACTGCAGAGTTGTATGCTTTTAACGGTGATTGTATGTAAAAGAAATGCTTATCAAAAATAGAAAAAAACGGCATCTGTAAATTCTTATGATTGCGAAATTGTATTGGCGTAATTTTGTCACAAAAAATTAATAGAAAATCTAATAGTATATCACACACTTTATACGTCAAATAGTGGTTAGGTGGTCTCTTTGTGTTTTACATTTGTTAAGAGGCCGGGATAGCCTGGTCACTAAGGCGCTGGTCCCATGTCCGAGAGTTCGTGGGCTCGAACCCCGCCGGCCGAAGACTCCCCGTGTGGTAAAGTGACTGATGCACATTAAATCTGTCGAGTCGCAAAAGTCCTCCATGTTCCCATAACAAATCAATACCTCTGGGGGTACTGGATTGGAGATCGATCGTTCTCTGATTCAGGTCAAAATTATGATCTGTGGATGAATGAATGGATGCATGAATGGGTCCACCCTATAAACGGGTGCGACGCATGGTGCGGCAGAAGTCGAATTCTTGGCCATAGATGGTGCCACTGAAGAACAAGAAACGGACACTCTGCCTTAAATTTGCTCGGTTTCACCAAGCAAGCTTGTCGGTGTGGCAAGTGACATTAGAAACAACAACAACATTTATTAAAAGATTTATTATTGCCAAACAGAGTATTCCATCATCAGTTCATTTGTGAAAATCAAATCAAAAGGATCGGAAGCATGTTTAGAATTTACTCTACTTCGGGAGTTGAGTTCGGTCTGGAAAGGAAGGGCCTAACTCGGATTATAGGTTAAATTTCTATATTTAGTTTTTTTTCTTTTTTTGTAGAGAAATTTCTGATGACACAGCATTATTCGGCAGCATAATATCAGGTAAAAGCGGTGGAACATGTAGGGGTGCCTTCATTAGAAGAGAAGAAACATAGATAAATAACTTTTAGATTTTCTATGAGATTTTCTTCAAAACTTGAAAGAAATAAAAATCTGCGATTTGTGGTTTAGAATCAATAATTTAATACTATGCAATAGTCAGCTTATAGATTTTTTTAAATTTATTTTTATTTCAGTTTAAACTGATAAAAACGCAATCGTATAACGTAAATTGCACGAAAGCAAAGATGTTTATCAAAAATTTAAAAACAGGCAAACGTATACCTTTTATCCAGCTTTCAAAAAGTACCCCTTTTACTGTTAAGTTAAATCAAAAGAGGACAAGACTCTCTTGATTCACTTTTCATATAAAACATTTCACTTATATAATATTTACAAAATTATTTCTCAGAAACTATTGAACAGATTAATATGCAGTTATTTATTTTCTCTTATAGGGGCAAAAAAAGCAATACAGTCCATCAGGTATCTTCAAGTGGGTGTCTGTAATGCCTTTATTTTTTCTGGAAGCTTACATAATATATTTGTTTTGTTCAAGTGAAGAACAACTTAAAATTGCTTTAAGGAAAAAATGGGGTTTGTATGCTTTCAGCGGCCTGCTATTTGTCATGGTAAGTACGTTATTATTATATTTTCAATAAAGCTATTTTCTGAGTACTTTTAAGCACTGTAGCAACTCATTTATAATTAGCTTATGTAATCAGCTTGCTGTTCTTATTGCTCTGTTATAAGGTAGTGTCATTTGAAATACTGCCAAATAAAATTTGTGGAATACCTCTGATCATTTTGAGTTTTATTTTAAAAAGTACAAAAACTACATAGAAAATTGCTCGAAACTTTTTACGTCATTAAGATATTCAAATAAGATCTTTTTTTCATTAATTGCCAAATGCGACTCGCTGCAAAATTATGAAGAAAAAAATTAAAAAAATTTTTATGCATGCGCAATACAAAGGAACTACTTTAAACAATACTTATATCTTGAGTAGTTTTAAGTGAGCTTTTTACAAATTTTAAAAGAAAAGTTTTGTATTTAATTTTAAATTGCTCCAAAAATTTTGCTTAATTTTTTTTAAAATTAGAGTAAAAAAACATAAGAGAAAAAAATTTGTTTTTATAAAAATGTCTGCATTTCTACAAATATTTAAATTAGGCTTACTAAATTTTATGCAGTAATTGCAAATGAAAACCAAAATAATAGTTATCAGTTATCAGTCTTATTGATTGATTTTTTGGCATAGGGTGTTTAAAAAAAACCCTATTTTCTTTCACTATTTATTGTCGGTCCCTCAAACCTCTAAGAGCTTTAAATCTTATAGATAAATTTAAAAAAAAGTCTAAGTGCCTCTTCCATTATTGTATATATATATATATATATAAAGAGCGTGCGTGTGTAAAAGAGGCGGGAGACATGATTAAGTCGAGATTTAAATAATAATTATTATTATTTTTAATGGCGGGCACTTGGGGTTTGTCCCATTGGTCACAGGAATGCCAGAGCTGCTACTCTCTTCTCGTTACCCAGTGGGCACCTGTGGCTAAGTCATGGCGGTGGAGCAGCGTCGCCCACGTCAAACAACCACAAACCCGTTTATAGGGCAGGTTACATTCATGGCTGAAAGCCCTTATATAGCAAGACGGAAAAATGCAAAAACTGGTACGAAATAAATTTATTTTTAGCATTTTTTTTTTTTTTAGAAAAGTAAAATATCTGTAAATATCAAGACTCCTTTTATAATTTTAGTCTATATATAAAACTGCTTATTTTCCGATGATAAAGTAGATATTGTTGAATAGCTTTAAAAATAATAAGTTAACTCTTCCCGAAAACTAGTTATAACTGAAGTGGTTTTACTACCAGCCATTCCTCTTTTCCGTCTTGCTTTCACCCCTGATCACATCCACACAAAGGACATAGAACACAGAGAGAGAAAGAAACATCCATGCCCTGAGCAGGACTCGAACCCGCTGCCAATGGCTCCGCAGTCAGGCACGCTAACCACTCTGCCACCTGGTCGGCTAGATTTAAATAATAACTCTTACATTATGAGTAAGTAAGAAATGTAATTAAAAAATTAAAAATTGGGTTGCAATAAACAATCTGCACCCAGGAAATTGGGTATCAGCATTTACATTGTTCAAAGCAGAAAAATAAGATAAATTTTTAAGTTTCAAGTTTCCGTTCTCATTTTACTGCAGCGATTTTCCGCATTCATAATCCGAATTCCGTATTCATAAAAATCATAACTTTTAATTAATGGTACTATCGACTTAATTTTGATTTTAATGGATTTAGTCTAGAAGCCTACATAGGAAAGAATACTTCGTTTATCGGTTAAATCGTTAATAAGTATGAAGCAAAAATCATATTTTGTACTCTTTATTTCTCTTTTAACTTAGTAAATATTAGTTCTTTTGGCTTGATTTTGTTCGATTCAGCGTTAGTTAGTTCATAATAGGCCTCACTTGCCTAGATAGCAAAATGCATAAATATTTTAGATTTAAGTACAAAATAAAAATAAAAAAACTCTGCAATATCATCGTGTTATTTTATGAATAAGCAATGGTGGAAAATTCAATGCTTTAATCACAAATTGCACAATTATAATAGTCTTAAGCCATGGTGCTCTCTACTGTTAGTATACTCAAAGCTAATCCAGACCAATTACACATTTGGGACATTAACTAGGAAAGTAACTTTATCAATGTATTTTTCTTTTAGATTTTCATCGAAGATTTGATGCCTCCCTTGAAAACTACCAGTAGCTCTGAACAAAATGGTAAACCTAGTACCAGTATTCCTGAACAAAATGACCTTGGTCCACAACCGTGCAACCAATCGAAGCAAAATGAAAACGTGAGTAAATCTGACACAAGTAAAACTGAACAAAATGGTGCCGATCCCCAGTTGTGTAGCCAAATGGTGAAAAGTGAAAATATGAGTAAACCTGGAGCCAGTAAAGCTAAACCTGGTGCCAGTAACGTTCAAGCTGGAGCCAGTAAAGCTAAACCTGGAGCCAGTAAAGTTATACCTGGAGCCAGTAAAGCTGAACCTAAAGAGAAGAGTTTACTTCTGGAGAACGATAATGAGAAAATATTGGTATGTCAACTTGCAGAAAAAGTATGTATAACAGGGGTAATTACATACCGGATTTTTGGTATCATTCTTCGGGGTCTAAAAACTAAAAGCAGGGAATGATTTTTCCGTGAATATATTCGCAGAATTCTGCTTATCTCAAAGTTTAAGCTTTAGCTAAATCGTTGACGAGACGTTTACATACCCGTGATTCTTCCGTCAATTTGATTCCTTCGGTTTGGAGGATTTCCTCCATTTTGAATGCTTGGAATTGCGCTGAAATCTAACATCACGATTCTTATTCCCGCGATTTTAATATTAAACATCGATTTTCGTATTTACCTGATTTAAAACGTATTGAGATTTGTATTCACGCGATTTAAAAATCGTGCATCGTGTTTCCTATTCATGCGCTTTAAAGACCCAATATTGCAATTCGTACTCACGCGAGTTTAAAATCCAATGTCACGATTCTTATTTACTCTTTTTTAAAACCTTGAAATCATATTGTGAAATGCATTCACGCGGTTGTATTATCAAATATCGATTTTCGTATTTATACGTGATTTAAGAACTACACATTGCTATCAGTATTTGCATGATTTAAAATTCATATCGCTATTTCTATTTTCTTGGTTTTAAAATCCAATATCGCGATTCCTATTTGCAGGATTTTAAGGTCCATAATCACATATTCTTGTAAAAAGCAGGTTTTTTCCTTAAATTAGTTACTGTAAATGTGCACTACTCTTCTTTAGTAGATAATAATTAATATAAGAAATATTTATGTTTTAAACTAGTATGAGAAATATTTATGTTTTAAACTATTTCGAACACGTTACACAATCTGTAATAAAAACACATAACAAAAATGTAATTTTTTTTTCCTACTTTGTTCTCTAATGCAAATTTTGCATTAGAGAACAAAGTAGAAACACAGTAGAACAAATTAGAGAACAAAGTTTGCATAAAGAAGTCTTTCATTGTTACGTTCGATTAGGTACGCATGTTTTATTAGATACTATAAACGTAGGGAAGAAAAATTTATAAGAGATTTTATTTATCCTTTATAGCACCACTGCTTTTTAATACTAATTTTAAGCTAAAATATTTTGGGTTCGGGATTAATTTATGAAATGCAGTTGTTGCCTTATTACCTTAAATTATTTTGATTTGAAGAAACTTTTTTTGTGGAAAGCTAGATTTTTGTTCAAAATTTACCTGCTGCAAAAAAAATTAACCATGAACTTGAATTACGGCAATTATAAATAACCAATCTTAAACATTCTGTGTTTACAGCTATAACTAACTAACTCGACTCCTATTGAACCATTATGTAATTCAATTTTGTAACCACTCTTTTATCTCTTAAGACTCTGATTAATTTTACACATGATCATACGTGTGTATTCTAACTGTTGAATGGATATTTATCTTTGCATTACATCAGCCTATGCTTAAAGCTAATTTTATTAAAATTTGTAAAGTAGTAAAATTTATCGGAGTGGTGAAACGTATTCTATTTACAAGTTATCGGCATAATCTATTTACAAAGGTAATGGTTACTTGGAAAAATACTGTAAATGTTATTTTAACGATGATATTAAAAATGTCATTTTATGGTGTCATTTTCTGTAGGGAGACTACTACATTTTGGTAGAATTTAGTTTTGTTTCAATTTAGGTGTGGGGGAGTCAGAAAGAAAAAGAGTTAGTATCGTGATAAAAATAAGATTGTTATTAATTTGAATAAAAATTAATTTGTCTTTTCTTTCTTTTTTCTTTTAGAAAAAAATTAATTTTTCTCTTCCAGAATCACATGTGTGAAGTTTTTATGGCAATATTTTTCATTACTTTGAGCTCCGTTTTGCCTTTCCCTGCATGTAAAGAGAGGTTAGAATCGAGTTTGTGGATGTATACTACTTTTTCACCAGTATTAACAATCACTCTCTGGTACATAGCTTTAAAGGTAAGCATGCGTTGTAAACGAGTATTCAAATTTACAACTTGTTTCAAAAGATAGTAACGAGTAACTATCACTTTATATTAATGAAAATTTAAATACCAATGATTAAAAAGGCATTCCCTCCTTTCACTACCTAAGATGCCTGCGACAAATTTAGTTCGTTCGCTTTGAAAAAGAAAAAAAAAAACTTCTTCCTATATGATTTTTTTTGAAGACCATTAGTATAAATATGTTTTTTTTTTTAATTCGTTAGGAAATTTTACTGAAATCATTTAAACAAAAAATTTAAAATAGATTGGGACTATATTTTTGAAAAAAATGTATTTATGCTTTAGTATAAATATGTTTAGTTACATTAGTACATGTTACAGTATTAGAGTATTACAGTACAGTATTAGAATATGTTACATTAGTATAAGTATGTTTTTTTTTTTTCGTTACGATATTTATACTTTAGTATAAATATGTTAAGTTACATTAGTACATGTTACAGTATTAGAGTATTACAGTACAGTATTAGAATATGTTACATTAGTATAAATATGTTTTTTTTTTTTTCTTTACGAAATTTTACTGAAATCATTTAAACAAAAAATTTAAAATAGATTGGGACTATATTTTCAAAAAAATTTATTTATACTTTAGTATAAATATGTTTAGTTACATTAGTACATGTAACAGTATTAGAGTATTACAGTACAGTATTAGAATATGTTACATTAGTGCAAATATGTTTTTTTTCGTTACGAAATTTTACTGAAATCATTTAAACAAAAAATTTAAATTAGATTGGGACTATATTTTTAAAAAAAATGTATTTATACTTTAACGATGGAGTTGTTTCTGTTAGTTAAACTTGGGTAGGTTGAACTGTCTTAATTCGAAATTTTAGATGTGATGTTAAAAAGATCTCGCCCTTAAAATAAAGTACAGGGTGTCTATAAAAGAACTCCGGGGTTTTAAAAATTCATATCTCACTAACTATAAAAGATAGCAAAATTTAGTCGATTTTTCTGAAAAGAGCAGCTCAAAAAGTTTTACTCATACTAATTGGGAATGTTTGTATCAACTGTTGGCGGCGCTGCAGGGCGTTGACCTTGAAATGACGTCGCGAAATTTGAAATGATGGCGACTCCGCAACAAAAGGCTCAATGTGTTATTTGGCTCATAGAAACGAAGTCTTTAGTTATCGTACAAAGAAACTTTCGACGTAACTATGGTGTTAACCCGCCTTCTGACAAAACCATTCGTCAATGGTTCAGTGCATTTAAGGAAACAGGAAGTGTTTTGAATTAAAAGTCGCCGGGTAGGCCGAGTGTATCTCAAGAGAAAGTGGACAGAATCCGAGCTTCATGCCTTCGAAGCCCTAAGAAATCGTTGACAAGATGCAGCCTGGAGTTGGGGTTACCAAGATCTCAGGGAACGAATAGTCAATTGTGTGGCAACCGTCCCCCCAGACATGCTCGCCAGGACATGGGAAGAGGTAGAATACCGTTTAGACGTCTGCCGTGCCACTAACGGGGCTCATATAGAACTTTACTAAGTGTTAAAAAAAACTTGAAAATGTAAGCTTTTCAGTCATGTATAAAACATGTATGTATGTTTTTTATTTCATTAAAATATTTTGCCTCAAAACCCCGGAGTTCTTTTATAGACACCCTGTATTAGAAGTGCCAGAAGCTGCTTCCAATCCAGGGACTTCGAACAACCCGCTCTTCTCTTTAGCATTTTCATTAAAAAATAAAAGTCTGATTTCTTGACTTTTTTTTTCAAGCTTAGGTAGCAAATATTAAAAGAAATGAAAGTTTGCATTATAATTGCGACTACAGCCAAAAGGAACATCTTTTGAGAAAAAAAGTGAACCGTTTAAGTCTGCTGGGTTGGAAATTAGCACGTCCGGAAAGGGTTAAAAGTATGAATAATAAAGTGTGTTTTAATTTAATGAGAAAAAAATTTAGCAGTATTCTTAAAGATTGAATTATGGTGGTAATCTTTTTTTTATTTATCTCATCTGTTTAAGACAATGATTTAAATTAATTTTTTTTTCTCTTTTTCCATCGAATTATCATAAGATTTTACTGTTACTTTGATAAGTCCAGTTTGTTTTAATTAATTAAATTTTTTCATTTACAGAAAGCCTTGAACCATGTAGTCGATGTACAACCTGATCTCTTCATGCAGCTTTCATGTGTCACTTATTTACATTTAGCTCGAGATGAATTTATCGATACATATGACCTTCCTATCCTTGTGACAACTGCTATTTTATTTTTCCTCTTTCTAATATGGGTAAGAATAAATTTCTATACCATTGATTCGATACTCTGTAGCAAGTTAAGAGAAAACAATTGCGTTATAGGATTCAATAAATCATCTGCGACTGCTTATAGTTCCGTTTAATTTAGTTATTAAATTATATAAATATGCTTTCGAAACAATATAAAAGCTTTTAAAAGTTAAATTCGTGGGACAGAAATTTAATTCGCACTATCTATTACGATACCGAAGAGCCATTACATTATGACCTCCCTGCTAATAACATGTAGGACCACCTTTAGCCCTCAAAACTGCTAGCCTCTCCAAGGCATTGATTTCACAAGGTGCTGATAGGTAGTCTGAGGTATCTGGTACTAAGCGCTCACCAACTGGTCCTGCAATACCCTCACATTGCGAGGGAGCAGCGTGGCAGCACGAATTTGGTTTTCCAAGTAGGACCACAAATGCTCTATTGGATTAAGGTCAGGTGAATTTGGGGGCCAAGACATGACTTGAAAGTCACTGGAATGGTCCTCGAACCAATCCATGATGATTCGACCCTTATGACATGGTGCATTATCCTGTTGGTAGTCACCCTACCCCGCAGGAAAAACTGTTGCCATGAATGGGTGAACTATGTTCAAGTAGCTTACGGACATCAGGAATTGTTTTATGAGGATTATGGGTCCTAGTGTGCCCCATGAAAATATTGTTCCTGGGCGAGAAACCATGAAAACCTGGGCGAGCCAATTGTTATGGATGGAGGGTGGTCTTAATGTAATGGCTCTTCGGTGTATATCATGGAATTATTGAAAAAGGGTTAGAGTTTCGCAGTCTTAGTGGAATCCTAGCGACATATTTCGGTAGATAAGGACATTTGCTCTTGAAAAAGAAACAAGTATATGCCGTTGCAATAGCATTAGATATGATTGGACTACAAACAATGGTGCATCGTACGTTGACATGCTCTTAACAAATCAAATGCGAGATAAATTTTCTTTTATTTCGCTTTAAAAGAGAATTGTCAGCAAGAAACAATATTTATTATTCTTTCATCACCAGTTTCTTTAAATGCGAGCAGAAAGATGTATATTTGTTATGATTTTTATACATTATTTTTATTAATTCTTATTAAAAACAATGGTTTTTATTCAATAAGTTTCATTTTCTCAATTTCACAAGAGCAAGCAAACAAAAACGTCAATGTCGTTTCAAGAGTTGGCGATGTTGATATAAGTTCGCGCTAGCAGCTTAGTATCTATTTGGCGTGATCTTAGATGCAAACAGGCTCTTTCCATAAGGATAATGGTTTTTTCATGCCTTGCAACAGAGTATAGATAATTTATTGCAAAAATTACCAGTTTATTTTTCCAGGATCGATTTTACGTGACGCGTGTTTTTAACCACATAGCTAATCGTTATTTATTTTTCTGCTTTCCAGGGTTGCTTCGGAGAGGGGGTTTCGAATAACGGAAAAAGTACCCCTGTGGAAAAATTGTTGAAAAAAAGAATCAGAAAAAAACAACTAATTAAATTTAAGATAAATATAACAATCGATTTTACTCAGATCCTTGAACCAGAATTTAATGAAATTTAATTCAGTCATAATTAGCTTAAAAAAATTAATTATGTAGCGAAGTCTTATTTAAAATTGACTGAATGAAACTTTCACTATAGTATTGTTATAAATAGTTTATCTATTAGCAATAGTCTCAAAGTGGTTAAATCTTTTGAAAGCGTTAACCTGCTGAAGAGTTCTGATTCACTTGTTAAATAAAGAATTTCTATCCTTAATCTAAAATAAATCCTTAAGCATTAATTTTCTTAGAAAAATATTTAAATGAACTCGAATAATGATTTCATTACATTAAATTCGGGAGAAACGCCCCAAATCGGATCTGTCGTTATATATATGTAATAATTGATGAGGTACTTTTTCTTTCCAATGCTCTTTTTTCCGTCTACCATAGGATCCGAGAGGATTTTAGAGTGTAGGAAAGAAAAGGGTAATATGCTGAAGAATGTGCTGTAAATTATTCGTGGGTCCTAAAAATACGAACTCGAAAGACGCTCATGTTCTCGGTCATATCTTAAAATATGGTTTCTCTCTTATGATTATTAACTACATTCTGACGATAAAATTTTTTATACGTACCAAAGCAATACGTTCAGTGGCAAGGTTACCCCTGCCTAACCCCTCCAACATTTCAAGTTTATTGAACGATTCTAACAAATACTGAATTTCTTGTTGTTGTTTCTAATGCTACTTGCCATACGGGGAAGCCTGTTTGGTCAAAACCGTGCAAATTTAATGCAGAGTGTGCGTTTCTTGTTTTTCAGTGGCGCCATCTATGGCCAAGAATTCGACTTCTGCCACACCATGTGTCACACCCGTTTATAGGGCTCGGAGATCGTTATACTGCCTCGATAAACGGGTCGTTAAATAACGACCCGCTTATAGAGAACGATCTATCTCCAATTCAGTACCCCCAGAGGTTTTTATTTGTTATGGGAACACGGAGGACTTTTGCGACTCGACAGATTTAACGTGCATCAGTCACTTTACAACACGGGGAGACTACAGCCAGCGGGGTTCGATTCCTCGAACTCTCAGACATGGGCCCAGGTCCCTACCAACCTAAAGTAACACCTCCTAGAAATAAGCAGGCCTCAGCACGGGTTACCATAAATAAGACAGTCTATCCTTTAGTAATCCAAACGTAATGACATATTTCGTATTGCTACTGCGCAGCTTACCCCGAGCGTAATGACATCTTTCTTGTTTTCCATCTACTGCGCAGTTTAACTTCCTTACATCGGACTACTTCGTGCTGAGACCTTCCTTCTTCTAGGAGGTGTTGGTGAAGGCCTCTTCTAGAAAATCTTGGTATTAAAATATTTTGAGTAGTTAGTAAAATATCAGTACAGTATTTGTCATATTTCACTTTCAGGTTATCTACAGAATTTATGCAAGTCTTAAGCAATGCATTACAGATATGAAGGAAAAATTATCAGACATAAAGACTGAAAAATCGAATATTGAAAAAGGAGGCGTAAGTAGCAAAAAAGATTCGTTAAAAGTGAAATATTGAAAATGTCTTTTTTTAAAATTACATTTATTGTAGTGGTTGTTTTTGTGAATGAACATTAACATTTATCCTACATTCCATTTTGTTTTAATTATTATTTCTAGAAAGCAAATCAGGAAAATGATAAATCTGCTTCAGCTGTGGACCGCAGTAAAACTGCTCAAGAAGATCTTTGCGTAAGTACGAGAACCAAGATCCGTATAGTTAAAGCTAAGCCACAACAAGAAAGTAGGATAATTATTGAATCTAGTGAAAGTAATGTCCTTAAAAAAGATAGTCCCAAACGCAGTACTGCCAAGCCAAAAACGTGCCAAAATGACGGTGGATTGATAATGGCTATTGACCACGTTGTTGATCCAAGCGTTAAAGATACAGTTTGTAAACCAGATTGCGAAATTTCAGTTGATGAATACGTACCAACGGAGCGTGATAATTTACTAAATGAAAATCTGAAAAGTAATGACAACGAAGAAGAAAATTGCTTTGTTATTATAGAGGATTTCGATTGTTCTTCAGGTGGTAAGGTAAATGGTAAAGAATGTTAAGTTTGCGGTTCTTAGAGAAAACATTTGCTTGTAGTTATTCATGTTTTAAAACATAAATTTTGGATTTTAATACTTCAAACAAAGAAAAAGATTGTTATCTTACAAAGTCAGTAATAAATCAAATTCAATTGCTTCAATTCAAATTGAATTCGCCAAATTGGTGGCCAAACGACTATATTTTTATAATAAAGCATAATACCTTTGTTAATTTTGATGAAATAAAAAAAAATCATTAATGTACGCTTCCACCAAACATTTAATTTCAATAGCATTGATGCAAGGTCAATAAACTTTTGAGATAAATAATGAGATAAAATGTATTTTGCAGTATTATTCAACTTTTACAGTAAATTATAAGGAAAATTCGATCAAATTTTGGTATATGGCCATTATAGCTTTCTTCTGATACGCTATGGCCGGTTTTCTGTAATATCTCATCCAATTTTGAAGCAACCCACTTGGTTTGACGAGATGATACAGGGGTTAGTGCATTAGCTTGTTAAAATATTTCCCCCGCTTCTAATTCTGACGATAACCTGATGTTACTTAACTCATTACTACTATAAATGTTTGTGTTAAATATAGATGTCCCATGTGAAATTTATGTAATTACGGGATTTAAGTTATACGAAGTATATTATGAATACTATTTTCAAAATCAAACTTTCCATTATATTGATCCATCTTTTTGATCTGGTGCATTTATGAAAATTAATGCTTTAATTGAGACTGATCATCTATGTCATGTATCCATGTGAATATCCCATGTGATTGATATCCCATGTGAAATTTATGTGATTACGGGATTCAAGTAATACAAAGTATGTTATGAATACTATTTTCAAAATCAAACTTTTCATTATATCAATGCATCTTTTTGATCTGGTGCATTTATGAAAATTAATGTTTTAATTGAGACTAATCATCTGTGTCATTTAAACTACTTAGTTTGTTAATATGTTTTTGTTTGTCAATGGTGTTTGTATTTGTTTGTGAATAAAAAACTAAATCATTATCTGCTTTCTTTTTATTTCACATCTGTGTCTGCAAAGAGGTACAGTGCGTGATAGAAAAACAAAACGAATTACCCTATCTTATCATTAGATCAATAATTTAATTTTTTAACCGTTTTTTTTATTTCCTATGAGCTGCACAATCAGTCTTCCCGATGAGCAGACCTCGTGCGTTCTCCAGAAGTGGTATCCATTCTTTCAGAACCACCACAATGGGTGAGATACCGTTGGCCATGTTAATTTGGACGTTTCTGCCACACTAGATGGCAGCACCGAGACTCTATTCGGATGCTAAAGTGCACTAGGAATAATTTAATTTAGCCGGAAATGCCAAGAGCCAATAAGGCACTCCAGGGATCTTTTACATGCCGCTTAATCATACGACATGGCCGCTGAGGATTTTTCTGCATCCGGAAAATCCGGTGTCTGGGCCGGAGATCGAACCCGCAGACTTGGGCTCAGAATCCCGACGACAAACCAACTGCGCCACCCAGCCACTTTTTTTTATTAACCCAAATAATCGAATTTTCACGCATTAAGTCTCAATCTTACTGGTTCGAAGAGATGACCTTAAAAATACTAATTATTTAGCGAAAACGATATTTTAAGTAACGAAATCAGACACTAAATTTCACAAAAAGACACTTCGGATTTTTGACCTTAAAATACATAAAATAGCTGCAATCTTAGAGATATAGTCCCAGTAGTTTGGTCGTGAAAATGGTCGAAATTTTGAACCACTTATTCTTAATATTGCTTTTTGCGTATGAGTCGTCTTATGTCGTATATCGAGAAATTTTAAGTCATTAAAAATTATTTTACACGCAATTATAAAATTAGCATGAAATTATCCAAACATCATTCCATGCAACAAAAAAAAAAAAAGATCATTTTTAATGTAAATTTTTTTAAATTGTTTCATTTAAAAAAAAACAAGTTAAAAAATTTTAAATTTTAACGTATACAAATTTTAATATAATTTTAAAGAATGTAAATTTATTGGGCGAAATATAAATTTAAAACAAAATCTGTCAAATAATTTCTGAGAAATCTAATTTTAAATATCTGATTTTCTTGTAAACCTAGCCGAACTATTAGGACCATATTTCCCAGATTGTGACCAGCCCTTATATTTTGAAATTAAAAAATCAAATTCATCGAAAAAAAGGTATGTTTACTCAGAAAAAGTAAGTTGCGTGTAAAATGACATCTGAACTTAATAACTAGATCGATTAATTATTAAATTAAAAGTTACTCAGGGCGTTCCGTTTTTTTTCTCTCCCTACATATTAAATTAAATAAGATTTGATGATTTAGTGATTAGATTTCGGCATATTGCTATGTTTGCTACAACGTGAAAAACATAAAATTAGTTGCTAAGTTTCTTCAAAGAAATTTAAATCTAGCTACCAACTTCAGTATTGCAAAAAGACAAGTATTTTCAATGTGTTTTCTCTGCTTTTGTATTTTTTTAATCGAAATTTGCTACTATCACTATTGCTACAGCTTAATTTTGCTACTACTAAAAAAAAAAATTGAATCGTAGCATTACTGTACTATCATGCATTCTCAAATTCTGGGAATTAAAAGGCTTCTTCGCTCGCCATTATGGATTTTTGGTGAAATTTTCGTTTATTTTTTCTTTTTGTACTTGAAGGTATTGTATATTTTGGCACCACAATACCTTTCAAAAATGGTGAAAATAAAGGTCGCGTTATTATATCAGAAAAAATAACTTAATAATTTTGAGAAATTCTACGAAATTTTCCTGAAAACCTTTTACGCAAATTAAAAAACAGACCAGCGTATATCTTTTGAAAGCTGCGGATTCCAAAACTGTATTATTATAATTTTGTCAGAAAAAAAGCAAAAGAGAATCTTAAATTACCACGTGCTTTATATCCCAAGCTCCGATTAGGTAAGAGCCTCGTATTTTATCGCCTGCACTGCCGAATAATTTAAACATCCACTTTCAGTTTATTTGCAAAAATTAAATGAGGAGGATTAAAAGTATACTTAGGATTTTCAACACTTGAGTTTAGTTGAGAGAAGAAGGGCCTCTTAAACAAAAAGTATTCCCTTTAATTTTTGCTGGTGATTTTATAAGTTACGAAATCAGATGCAAGAACGTATGAGAAAAATAATGAAAAAAAATTATAAAAGTATTCTTATTAATTTTTGCAGATGATTTTATAAGTTGCGAAATCAGATGTAAAAACGTACGAGAATAATAATGAAAAAAAATTAAAAAATTATTCTCATTAATTTTTGCAGGTGATTTTATAAGCTACGAAATCAGATGCAAGAGCGTACGAGAATAATAATGAAAAAAATTCGAAAAGTATTCTCATTAATTTTTGCAGGTGATTTTATAAGTTACGAAATCAGATGCAAGAGCGTACGAGAATAATAATGAAAAGAATTAAAAAAGTATTCTCATTAATTTTTGCAGGTGATTTTATAAGTTGCGAAATCAGATGCAAGAACGCACGAAATTATTTGACTTTTCGGCCCTTAAGGTATGCTGGGTTGTTCTAGAAAAGAAAAAGTTGGCTTAATCATTTAACATTGCTTTTCGAAGCTTTTCGCCATAAACAATAAAAACAAACAAACCTTGTTCTAGAGAAAAAATTTTAAGTCATGCACATCAAGCCGTGGTGGCTCAGGTGACAGATCATTCTCCCAATTAGGTGGACTATGTAGGTTTGAATCCCAGCCATGACTGGCTAATACGAATTCCACACCCGGCTTGCATCGACCGCAGTGCTGACTTAAATTATCCTCAGCAGTAGACTGATATTGGGTTAGAGTCCCCTTGCTATCAGACTAACTGTCGGAGGTTTTCATGATTTTCCTCTATATGTAACGCAAATTCGGGCTCGTTTCACAAAAAAGTCCTCCACGAAGGTAAAGTTCCTCAACTACTTGATCAAGGAGTTCCCTTGTATTATGGATTAGGTCCAAAATTACACGACTATGGAGTTGAACATTAGTAGTCGTAAGCTCAAAATTAGGTCAGCATAAGAGGGTTTAGCATAATTGGGTTATGCATGAAGTTATAAAAAATTAAAAACCATGTACATGATGTTACCGTACAGAATTCGGAAAGCTTTAGAAAACAAAAATAATTAAATAGTAAGTAATTAAACTCTTTTTTTCAAAAAATCTCTAATTTAGCTAGATTGAAGGACGAAGTTATTCATTTTATGAAGAAGAATGGCTTTATTAGGATAACAGACGCTGACAAGAATGTGATTAATCATATAGCGATCGCTTTGAAATCATATTTCTTATCAGTGATGTATAGGAATTTTGAGGTTTCAATCATAAGTATCAACAGGACTTCTTTAATTCAGTGCCAAGAGGAGGTATAACGTATGTCTTTAGTAAGTTTGATGGTTTGATCATTAAGAGGACACTATTCCATTGGTGAAACTTTTCATTGCAAATTCTCTTATCTTTAAATTCTTACGCAATAGGGAAGTTCTCTTTCTATAATTTGTTTGCGATTTGATATTTAAAATTTTTTTATACAGCAATTGAAACTTCATGTCTTACTCTAGGCTTACCTGTACTCACTTTTTTTCATATTTTAAATTAGTTATGGAGGTGGAACTAAATTTCCGATGAAAAGCTTTCTTGCACCATACACCCCCCATAAGTATAGCAACATTCCAACGTGATAGAGCAATATTTTTACACTCCGCATTTTTACATTGTTTAGGAGAGAACTTTTAAGAGTATGTTAGGTCCTAAACAGTAGAATATCCATATTAGAAATACGATGCTTTTGCGTATATTATGCCGCTAACTTATAGAATCTACTTAAAGTTCTATCTAGAAATAATACTTAAAGTTCTATCTAGAATTAATACTATACCTCTGTGTGTACTGGATTGGAGATCGATCGTTCTCTGATTCAGGTCAAAATTACGATCTGTGGATGAATGAATGGGTTCACCTTATAAACAGGTGTGACGTATGATGTGGCAGAAGTCGAATTCTTGGCCATAGATGGCGCTACTGAAAAACAAGAATCGCACACTCTGCCTTAAATTTGATCGGTTTCACCAAGCAGCCTTGCCCGTGTGGCAAGTGGCATTAGAACCATCCAACCAGAAATAATACTTAGAAAAATATGAGGCAAAAATAGTCTCTTTCGCATAAAGTATGGCTTATTATCATATTTCTATATAAACTACAGTTTTCTTACGAATCCCACCTCGATACAGCGTCCCTCATTATAACGGATATTTCATAAAGTCATATTTACTATTCCTAAAATGAAATGATGTTTTTTAACGCCCATTTGAGCTACCATTCATTTCATTTTGGCGACAAAAATTTCGTAACTAAATTTAGTAAAGGTATCAAAGAATTATTTTAGCTCACTATTTCTCTCGATGCTACTACCCATTAAATGTGAAGCTTGTTCATTTCCCTTTGAATGAATAAATTCCCAGACTTTTATCATAAATGGGCGTAAAGTTATCTAAGGTCAAAAAGTTAGTGCAAATGGGGATTACTTCATATTGATAATCAGTAGTGTATGTTGCACCATCGTAGTGAAATCAGCATGAAGTCCGGTATGCATTCATTGGGTTTAAAGAAGTCACTCTCAAACTTTATAAATTCATTTTTAAAAACAATAAATAAAACAGTCATACATTCAGTTCCTTTTTTTTTTTTTGGCAAAATTTAGTCCCATTAGGTAGTTTATTTTCTAATAAACATTTTGCCCAAGCAAAGTATGACTTTTAAGCTAATAGAATATGATAAAGTTGAATATGTTTCCGGTAGTATAAGAACAAAATTTTTTATCCGAACCGAATCGTTTTGGTGGTGATTATTGTTAAAATCAGCAACATTTTACATAATTAATCAATTTATTACCATGCTGTTTGGTAGTAAATGTGGTAAAATTTGGTAATTTGAACATGTCAGTAAAACAATACAATATTGAGTTAAATTTTCCTGCGTGGTAATATAAACAACAATTTTTTTAACTAAAATTTTTACTAAACAGCTAACATACGAACGAAAAATTACCATATAAATGGTTTAAATACATACCGCATATTTTGGTTTTATAACCAGAAATAAATTTTTTCTCAACCGGAAAAGTCATTAATCATAAAAGTACGGTAATTTTACCTGGATTTTTTTACTCAGTACAGTTATCTGATATTTGTTAATAACTGCCCGAATCAGCATATTTTTTATAATTTTTCCCACCGATATTGTTTTAAAGGGTGCTTTTATGTATGAAATTAAAAAAAGTATTATTATTTTTTATGTTGTAGTTATCTAGTCTATCATTAAAGTATTGTTTTTTTGAAAATGTGTCTAAATATTTAAAGTTATGAATAAATGCTTACTGTATTTTCATTTTTATTTTTGAGCTCTCTTATGATATAACAATAATAAATAGCATAAAGATTTTTTTTTTAATTGAGATTATTCCATGTAACAATTGTTTTTCAATAAAAGCTAAATATTTATTATTATTATATTAAATTAGTGTCTAGTAAGATTGGATAGAAATATAAGTAAGATAGTTTAAAAATATGGCCTATTGAAAATTAAAACACAAACACTATTTGACCGATTTCGTTCATACTTTATGTTTGGTCATTTACACAGTTTAAAATAATGTAAAAATTTGCAAACCTAACAGTTTAATTTTTTTAAAGCTCTTTTTAAATAAAATAATAAACTAGTAATGTATACAAATTATTTTTTACATGCAATTGTTTTTAGATGAATGAATTTCATAATTCTGTTCAAAATTTTTTTGACTCGTTTAAAAAGTGAAAATCATATAAGCAAGAAAATAAAATTCATATCATTCACCTTTCAATTATTGATCTTTTGAGGGAAAAAGCATAATTGTTATGTTGTTCTAAGTAACTCTCCCAGAATAGTTAATTTTTAGAAACATTATAAACCTCATTTATGAAGCATTCTACTATCACCATTTTTACTTAATATTAGTTTAGATAAAAAATCATAATTCAATGTACCCATTTTTGGGTCTTAACGTGCAATGTAAAGACACAGAGCAACATTTGGCTGGCTACCCCTTTCAAATTTCTGCGACCATGGACCAGTATGGTAACCATTGATATTTTATAAATGAGCAGATGCGCACATGGTTCACGCTATTTTATTGGTGAACATCTGCGCACTAACTATTTTCTTATCAGTACAAACCAGATTTTCTTTCTATTATTGTTATAATACAGTGGAAACCCCATGTTCCTTTCCTTTTGTTGTTGATCTCATTTCACACTACAGGTGCAATCAAAGCATATCTTAGCCCGTGGATGAAGAAGACCATTTTCCTTCAAGATATTTGGAGTTATTATTTTAATATTAGATTGTTGATAAAGATAAACAGAAAATTATTGAACTTACAAAGATGGAAAAAAGCACGACTGTTGTAGATAATCAAGAACAACATAAAAAGGTAAGTTTGTGCATTTTTACTACACTTGTTTAAGTATAATTGAGTATTAATAGAAATTATTTGTTAAAAAATATATTTTTGTGTTTTGTGAAACTATGATTTATTTAGATGTTCGTTAAATATGTTATGTATTTGTAACTGTGGCAAAATGTTTTTCAATTTATGTTTTTTAAAATGGAACAATCATCTTCCTCTTTTCTTTCCTTGATTTTTCTTTCTTTCTCCTTTTTTTTATAGTTATATTGCTGCTTGTAAATGCAATTATTCATTATATTTTTTGTCCGTGGAATACTCATGTCCTTATGATGAAGTATTAATAGTTTTAAAAGAAAAACTCAATTCAATTTATCAAGTACTTACTTTTTTTTTGAAGTGTGAAATGACCTAGTTAACATTGTATCTAGTTGAGAAAAGGATATTTTTTCCCCGTTTAATTATAAAATAATTTTTGATATGTAAAATAATGAATTTTCTTATCTTCGTTGTAAGATTGTGAGATAGGACTCTCTCTTTTGAAAAATATGCTTAAACATGTCTCAACAAGCGAATTCATTGTCAAAAAAATATTTAGTTAACATTGTATTTAGTTCAGAAAAAGATATTTTTTCAGTTTTATTATAAAATATTTTGTGAAATGTAAAATAATGAATTTTTTTATCCTTGGGTATGATGTGAAATAGAGGTTTTTTATTTTATTAAAATGAACAAAAAATTTAAAACATGCATCAACGTGTAAATCTATTGTAAATAAATAGTAATAATATTCAGTTAAAAAAATTTTTTTTTTTTCAGTTTAATTATGAACTGTCTTTTAAGTGTAAAATAATCTATTGATCCTCGGTGTGATGAAATGTGAGATAGGACTTTCTTTTCTTAAACAAACGTTTTAACATGTCGCAACAGGGCAATCCATTCTAAATAGAGTATTTAGTTAATAGAGTATTAGTTTGCATTTAGTTTATTTTTAGTTAAAAAAAAAAGAATTTTTTTTTAATTTAATGGAAAAATATTTTTTGAGATGTAAAATAATGAATTTTTTTTATCCTCGGATAGAGCTTTTTTTTTATTTTATTAAAATAAACAAAAAATTTAAAGCATGTATGTGTAAATCTATTGTAAATAAATATCAATGGTATTATTCAGTCATAAGTGGAATATTTTTTTTCCAGTTGAATTTTGTATACTGTTTTATGAGGTGTAAAATATTCAATGGTTAATCCTCGTGCTATGATAATATGTGAGACGAGTCTTTCTTTGCTGAAACAAACGTTTAAGCAAGTCTCAACAAGCAAATCCATTGCAAATAAAGTATTTAATTAATTTAGTTAACAAAAGGATATTTTTTCAGCTTAATTGCAAAACAATTTTGGAGATTAAAATAATGATTTTTTTTATCCTCGCAGCAAGATGTGAGATAGATCAATCTTTTATGGATAGATGTGGCAAGAGTGAGATAGATTTCTCAGGACTTGGAAAGGAACGTATCATCGTGCAAATGTATCGCAAATAAATATTAATAGCATTACTTGAGTAAGAAATGGATAAATATTTTTTTAGTTTAATTATAACGTATTTTTTGAGGTGTGAAATAATTTATTGTTTATCCTCGTGACATGATATGAAGTAAGGCTTTCTTTAATAAAGCAAACTTAAAGCGTGTCTCATCTATGAAATTATTAGGACTTAGTTTTAATAATATTATTCTGTTCCTTTCTTTTTTAGTTTAATCATAAACTATTTTTGGTTTCTGTAAAAATATTGTGGTGCTATGTCTATCCGTTTCTGCAATTGTTTTCCCCCCCTTACACGTATTTCGAAAACGCAGTACAAAATATAAAAGTATTTACTCACTGAATGTTTCTATCCTATATGACTTTTAAATATTCGCATTCAGAATATTATCGAAATTTTTAAAAACAGATAGAGTATGGTACAATTTGCTTTATAGACAGACATAATAATGATAATTAATAAAAGAAGAATGCGACTGGAAATTAATTTTGATTTGACGGATTATATCAGTTTGATAATAATATTAAAGGCAATTCTGTACGCAAAAATTAGCCGTATTTTTCATATTTATAATTCAGAAGATTGCTTTCAAATAGACCCAGAAAAATCTGTTTTGTCGTAGTTAAACGTTTTTTTAGGAATGATTGGTGTGCTCGGTAAATTTGGGGCAATTCAATAACGATAGACACAGCAAATCTTTTTAATTTTTAATAATAACTATCATTAAACATATTTTTTATTATTTCAACCATGTTCCAAAAGTAAATGAGCACCCAGTCAGGAAGTACCCCTATCGGCGTTCATATTTCCCGCCATGAATTGCTATGCAATTCTCAATTCTGATAAGCGCCACATTTCTTTTCAGCATGCAACTTCTGTGTTAAATTACCTAGTGTATAAAAGGGGATCATAAACGAACGCCGGCATTTACGTAATGAAAACCTTCATTTACAGTTAATATTTCTTTCATTTTTTCAGATAAAAATAGGGAAAGAACATATCAAATGGATACCTGGTTTTGACTTTGATTCTATCTTGCCAGTTATATCAGTCAGCTTTTTAATACTTGCATGCTTTGCTGTTGTCCAACATTCATATATGCATCCATCTAATGCTGAGTATGGCACCATTTCTGTTCTTGCATTGATTTTGTGTGGCGTAATGCTGATAACAGTTTTAATGTGTGTAAGTATCTTTGTAAACTAATATCTTCCTTAAAGAAATCCTAAGGATAGTTAACTTATTACTAATCTTTAACACGTTGAATGCCACGCTAATTTTACATGGCTTGCTCGTCAAACCTCAAGGTAAAAAACTACAAACTAAACTTGCAAATATAGACAGAGTTTGCTAGTTTATAAGAGGTTGAGCATGACATATCTGAAAAAAGTGGTGAATTATATATTTAAAAATAGTGGTGGATAAAAATCTGCTAAATTCAATTTATTAAACCAAGAATCACAATAATTAGGTAAATTTTGAATAAATTTTCTGCAATTCCAAAAAAGAATGTAAATTTTATAGTTCTATATCATGTCATACGCTGTCAGCCAGCTGCTTTTCGCGGCCTATGTGAAAGGTCAGAGTCAGCCACCGGTGGTTGACGCGGCCTAAATGTAATTTCAGTGTCAGCCACCGGTAGTTGACGCAGCCTAAATGTCATTTCAGTGTCAGCCGCTGATGGCTGACGTGACGCTCAACGTGTTAAAGGTTGATAGGTTTAAAATAATACTTTTTATGACTGGCTGTTCTTCGAAGATTAATTTATCATACGATATAAAACTGTTTAAAGAATAATACGCTATATTTTTATAACTGTTGAAAGATCTTAATAATCATTCATAAGTGGATCAAAATACAGAGCCCTCAACTTCCTCAATGCCCCCCCCCCCCCCNTGCCCCCCCCCAATGACGCATTGAGGACATAAAATATTTTCATTGGTAGAAAGATAACTGGTTAGAGTCCTCTTGCCGTCAGACAAACTGTAAGAGGTTTTCGTGCTTTTCCACTCCATGTAACGGAAATGCAACGGTCTCATTTGTTTAATTCCTCTTGATTTCACTGCTGCTTAGCACATTTTTCCATTTGGATGTATTATTATTACTAATTCTAATTGCTTTAATATTTCGAATTCTTTTCTTAACGAAAATGCGGGTTAGTTCCATCAAAAAGCCCTGCACGTAGGTAAATTTCTTCCAATAATTGACCCAAGAGTTCCTTTGTTTTCTGAATTGGGTTCGAAATTACAAGGCTACGGATTTGAACATTTACAGTCGTAAACTTAGAATTGGATCTGCTGCTCAACGCAGGTTATAAAGTAAAACAGTTATTCATATGTATAAGTTCAAATTTCGCCAAACTCTAACCAGCGTTCTCTACACTACTTATGAAAATGGACCGAAAAGTCTAAATTAAGAAAAACCATAGTTTTTGATTATAAAAAGTTTGTAAGTTTTATTACTTGAAAAGTTACTCCAACTTGGGCTCAGGAAAACATATTATTTCAAAACATATTGATTTTAGTTCAAACATATTAATTAATGTATTAAATAATATATAATCGTTTTATTTTTACGAAAAATGTAATCTATGAATTCACTTAGAAAAGTAGTCTTTAAAAGAAAGTCATCGTGGTGTCCCGTTTTTTTCTCCTTATTGTTTCAAAACATATTAAATTTAGTTCAAAGCATACTAATCAAGGTAATTTTTTTTTACTATTTATTATGTGATCCTTATTTTCATCGTAATAGGCTATAAAAACGAGCATATTATTTCGATCGAAAATTAAAAATTTCATCTTTATTATTATATAAAACATTCTACTTTTAATCAAAATAATACTTTTGTGAATGTTTAACGTATATGTTAAATTTTTTTGAATTTTTTTTTAGCTTTTAATACCTAATATCTTCTTGGAATGGAGTGTTGCCTCATTTGTTAACATTATAACAGAATGCTTTTTAATAATTGCATTTTTTGCCTTGGGCCAAGTGTATGCCACTTACTCATCTACTTCTGAATTTGAACTTGATTTATTACCGATTCTTGCAGTACTTTCCTGTGCCTTGTTCCTATTAATTCTTGTCGTAAGTATGAGTAGCTCTAAACATTTATTTTAGTTTAATTTAAACTTAATTACTGTGTAAGATATATAATTTTATTGCTATAGTTGGTATTGAGTAAATGTACTGCAAAATGTATGTAAGCATGTTGAAGAAAAGTAACTTTATTATAAGTAACAATCAAAAATGAAGGCAATCTACACAATATTGAGTGCAAATATTATGTATATAAATTTAAATGTAAGTCTATCATTCTAGATATAAAATATGAAGTGTGCAATGCATAATAGTAATTTAAGCATTTATTATAGGCACATTCATTCGTAATGAATGTTATTATTAATGAATGTCCTTAATAATAAATATTCTTAAATATTTAATAAACTTACCTCAAAGAACTAAATTTCTAGTTTTATTTCAAACGTAAATATATAATTCAATTTCAGTGTGCAACATGCGCGTATAATAATAATATAATCACTTCCTAAAGGTTCATTCTTTAGCAAAGAATATTCTTATAAATGAAGATTAATAATAATAATTTTTCTTAAAAATTAGGTAAACTTCAAGCACTTCAAGGAACTCAATTTTTAGTTCCTTACTTCTTAAAATAACTCATACTACTACCAGTTTCTTATTTATTGAATTCATAAATTTAAAAAAAAAGGAAAACTACTGAGAGCAAATGGAGGTAATAGAATTTTTTAGTGATTCTGCAAAAAATACTAAATAGCTAATCAAAGAATCATTTTACAATTACGGAAATTAAAACCGTATTAAAAATGGTAATAGACGTTCAGTTCAGATTTTCATGAGTATATACAAGTACACATGTAGAATGTTTTATAATCATCACCCTTAATGGATATTTTACAATCTTTGCCGAAAATCAAATGAAATAATCTATACATTAATGTTCGTAAATTTATATTTTAGCTAGTGGGGAAAAAAAACTAAGAATATCAAAATCTGTTAGAATTTCGAATTAAACTAAGAGTAGACAAAAATTGAATCTGCTAAACACCTTACAGTAAAAGGTCTGGACATTGTTTTCAAGTTTGCCTTTCTCAATAATAATTCGTCAGATTTTAATAAGTTGTTTTTCCCTCTCGTAAATATCGATTTGGTACATCTAATCCGTTTTTAATTTTGATATTAGCAGTAAGTATAGAACATTTTGTATGTAATACATTTGTGTGGTGAAATTATGGTATCTAAGTCATGTCTTGCTTCGTAATTGAGAAAAATAATGAATTTTCACACCATTTGAAAAAAATTTAATAGCAAATGTTTTTTAAAGATAATAATAACAAAAACATTAAAAATTTTTTAGTATTTTGTCTCCCCGATCGTCATTACAGTAGTAGTGGATAAATTAGAATTGACTGAGCCAGGATAATGTTTCTGGGCCAGTTTTCTAAGGAAATTTAACCAGGAACTGAGTTAATGACGCCTCGTTAAGACTATATTTCAAAAAGTCTTTATTTTCATTACTATGAGTTTGCAATAGTTATTCGTAACTTTTAGGTTCAGTATAGTTTTTCTTCAGTCAGTTTCCTTAATCAAAAATGGAGATCATTCTGATAATGGCTCAAAATGTCAATATGAAAAAAAAAGCCACAATTTTGAGAACATAAAGAGCGTTTGTGATCTACTTTTTTTTTCAGCCTTTAAAAAGTTTTTCCAACACTGCGTTATCGTGGCTAATAAAAAATTGTGAATCATTTATTAATTTTTATAATCTCCATCTAGGTGGAAAGATCTCGCCCATATTTGAGATTTTTAAACACTGAGATATATATTAGTTTTTTGAAATAATTATTAGTTTGATTGAGATAATTATTAGTTTGATTAAGATAATTATTAGTTTGATTGAGATAATTATTAGTTTGATTGAGATCATTATTAGTTTGATTGAGATAATTATTAGTCCGTTCTAAAGCTGACATAATTTTTTAGAACCAGATGACATATACATTTTAAAATTATAACTTTGCATATAGTGTGTGGCGCTTAAAGTGTTCTTTTTTTTAAATTTTATTTGGCGAAAGAGTTTCAGCCAACACGAGGAAAAAAAAACAACTTTTTATTTGCCTGTTTTTAAGTGATTAAAAATTATTGCAAGCTTTTCTTTACTTTTTCAAAATTAAAATCTTTTTTTTTTTAAATTTCTTGCTCGCTTAAACGTTACTTAATTAAATAATAATTAATTAACAGATCTACATAGTTCAGGCTCGTTAACGTGATTCCCTGTCGTATTGTATACTGTCATTATGCTTTTAAAAGTATTTGTAGCTTAAAAACGCTTTTCATAGAGACGGACTTAGATTTTTTTTCTTGCCTTTTTTAAACATTGCATTTTAACTTTGATAGGTTTGGAAACTAATGATTTACAATTCCATATTGATAAGAGTAAACATTTCAGAAAAATAGTTCATAAATTTTGTTCAAGTGTTGATTTTACTCGTGTGACAGCTGAATGTGTGGTCTGGATGAACGAGGTCTATTGAATCTGTCTATGGTTATGAATGAAATATTATCATTCATAGAGTAGGAAACTAGGCTTTTGTATTTTTACTTTTTCACCGCAGGGGTATTCACATTGATAACTTGTGAGAAATTTTGATCTCTTTGCGACCATAATGAAGACTGAAACACTTGAAGAACAAATTTCTCCTTTTTTCTTTGAATTGGCTTAACAGATAGCGTGGCTAGAAAATATTGTGACTATATTTTATACTTTTTACCTTAAAATAAAATTTAACCTGAATTTTTTGGATGCTGTTGATATACTATAAAACTATGCAAGACGCTTGAAAATTAGAAAGAAAAAAAATTAGAACAATTACTGATTATTTTATTCGCAATTCACTGTGAAAAGTATTTACTCTCATCTGGTTTTTGCTACTTCTTTTTTTAAATTATTTTTTGTTTCTAGTTTTAGAAGACTGATACGTTATGTTGTTTATTTAAATTGGGGTTAAAATTTTTGTAACTTCCAAAGAAAATAATTACGCTTCTAACGAAAATTTAGAAATCTTATATGATTTAATATTAATGCTGGTTGTACGCAGAATGTGGTTTTCCAGTCAATTTGCAAATGAAGAACACCTTCATGAAATGTTGCCATTTGGAGACTTGACGCGAGAAATAGCGTATTTTCAACTAGATGAATAACCGTTTTTGGAACAAGGTGAATAAAAGAGATAAATGAACAGTAAATGAATACCTTACGAAATCATGCACAAAACTGGAAGGCATATACCGAGTCAATTATAAAATTAAAAAGAAAAAATTACTTGGTGGCTTTACGTAATTAAATTAATCAAAACAATTTTTTTGTGGTTGATCCCATCAGAACTGCTCCATCAGTTTTAATAACTATTCAATAAATCAATATAATACTTTATACATACCTACATTAGCACGTTTGGTACCTATTGCATACTCTACAACATTCGAGTTTTGTGTTAAATATATATTTATATACCAGTAGCAACAAGCGGAAGCCGAAATTTAAATAACAAATAGAGCTCTTATTAGACCTTGATAAGGAGCATGACCATTTTTCCATCCGACCTTTAATTTATTGTTTAAGATATTTATAAGTAGTGGTGGAAAAAAGTTCAATTCCAATTTATTTAAATATTAATACACTATCTTTGCTATCACTAGAAGTAATATTTTCTGAAAATAGGGAAAATCATTATTAAAACTGCAGCCATTGCCCTAGTACTAGTAGTACACATTAACAAAATAAATTAAGTATCATCTGCGTCAATATTAGCATGGAAATTTTCTGCTATTCTCCTAAACGAAAAACTTCTTTTTCCCTATTTTTTTTAAATTTCAATTAATACATATAACCAGAATTAATTAAGCATTGGCGTCAATATTGATGTAAGGATATTTTTTTGTTGAATGAATGAATCAGAAGCACTTTTCTATTAATTTTGCCTTTAAACATATAACTAATTTCTTTTTCGTTACAATTACCAATGGTTTTAAATTATTTAATTATATAAAAGCATGTTTTAAAGGAAATATTACAGAAACAAAATAAACACGTGGTTTCAGATTACTTTAGAAATACTAATTTGGAGACGTAGTCCACCTATGCTACCCCTTTAACGTTTATCTTGGAATTTTTCTGGTATAACGAATAAAAAATAATTAAATACATCTATGCTCTTTAGTACGACCCTCCATTACCAAGTGACCCTTCTATTGTAACTGCCAATACAAGTTGCGTTTGCTTTTTATGTGAACACCATGTTATTTTAACACCCGAACGTCCGAATTGAACCGTTCATTCCAATATAGCGACCGAAATTTTAATTCATTTTTTAATTCCTAGAAAATCATTCCAAACACAGGTGTGACATGTTTTTGCGCTTTGCAAATTAAAATTTTTCCATTCACAGTAAATTATGGGTAACAAAAGCTTATAGGAATATACGTGAATCTCGATGAATGAAGAAAAAACGACAGGACCACCAACGTTGGATCTCCTGGGTGTTGTCAGTGGTCAAAAGAATTGTGAGATATCGATTTCTTTTCATTATTGAGAATTTGAAATGCATGGTGTTAAAACCATCTCGAAATTTCTTGTTTGCCTTCATAACCTTTGTTAATTTCTTTTCAAACATCATTAAATTCATCGATCAAATTTATTCTTGTTTGAAATAGGCATTTCCTCTTTTTGTGAAACGTTGTAGGAAGTAGCTCACTTTTTAGTTAAAACAAGTATTCTTCACATTTTTCTTGGCTTTATTTCTGCTTAGATTTAAAAGTTCTCTGGACGTCTGATGATTTTTAGCAAAAATGGTCTCCAGAAAATAGATTCAATCTACATATTTAGAACAGAAAATAAAAATTTGAAGGAAATGAATAGAAAAATTACATCAAAACCTCATTGCGTCAAATATTTAAAATCTTCGAAAGCACTTAGTTCACAATAATTAAAAATCCCAACGCAATTCTAAAGCGGTGGACGAACTGGGTGTTCCAATTTTTCACTATATTTTTCATGAAAGAAAATTTCAAAATCTGGAAAAAGCCTTGAATGATCTTCTAAAAAATATGCGTAACATTAAAAGATGTAATTTGAAAAAATTAATGTATTTTTAACCTATAATATATTATATTGATATTTGCACTTTATTGACATAAAAACTGCTTAATATCAATTATTCTATCCGTTTTATAATCTTTTTCAATGTATGAAGTTTTTTTTTTTGTCTTCACGATATAGAGACAACACGTTATGTATTGTTCGGTCATCGACTGTATAAAAATTCTTGCAATAAGCTCTTTTTTGATCAAATGGAGCTATAAGCTAGCAAACATGCCTAATGTTATCCTTAAAATAGTTGAAAACACAGAATCAGTAGTATTTATTTAAAACAATGGCTAACGTTTAACCAATGGCAAAATTCCATTTTTCAAAAGGCTGTTTCAAATTATCTAATTGAAATATATACAAGAGACAGACACATAGACAAACATTTTATTTTATATATATCATAGTAGGAATTTTTTTTATTTTGCAGTGGAAAAAAAGAGAAAATCATCCAGACTGAAAATGTAATACTAAATTTAATTGTATTGCGGGAAATAACGTAATGAACTTTGCTTCTCTAACAGTTTTGACTTTTTTTCGTCTCAATATTATTTGCTAATGAAAAAAATCTCTCGTGAAATGTTATCGCTTAGAGATCGGACAAAAATATATTGCAGCTAAGTATATAAGTCAAAAAAGTTGTAACTGTTTCTCCTGTACTTCAAGGTTTTTCTGAAAAAAAAAAAAAAACAGCTTTGGGAATTCCTTCAGATTGCAAATGGAATTATCTTTAGTAGTAATATAAAAAAATGGAGTAATAATAATAAAATAAAGAAAACAATAAGAATGGAATTATAATAAGATAAAGAAAGTATTAGGAATTTTCATTTCTCAAAAAATGTAATCAGAAATCCTAGTTCAATCAATTAGATAAAGCAACAGTTAAATAGTTCTGTACAAAATGCATGTCTTCATATAATTTTTGCATCTATTTGCAGGTTGTACAAATGAAAAATAAAATGGCTGTTTTAGAGATTGAAAGTAACCATTTTACAGCCGAAATAAGCAAGCTAACAACAGAGATCACACATTTTAGAGATGAAATCTGCTCATTTAAAAAGGAAGTTATTTACAATGAAATTCAAATTAAATACTTAAATGCTATGACGAAAGCGTTAAGAACAGACTTGAATTACATTGATGTCGATGTTTACCAAATTATAAATGAAGTCAGCAACCATGAGAATGAAATCAAAGGTCTGAAAATGGGATCAAAAACCTACTCCAAAATTTCAGAAATTCATCAGAACAGAGCCACGGAAAAGAAATAACTAGTTAAAACCAGACATTCGGATCTACTATGTAATTAAATGTATACATTTTATGTAAATATTATAAGTTAATAAAGCTTGTGCTAGTGAAAATAGAATTTTTTGTTAGAGGAACCATTTATACATGCTACCGGCAAAGTTTGAAATCCGGCATTCTATAGAATGCCTAGGCGTTGTGTAAAATGCCTGAAACTAGCCGCCAATGTATGAAACGATTTAGATTTCACACTTTTCCTAGGCATTCTATAGAATGCCAAATGAGAAACCGGCAAAGTATAAAATACATCTCCGATTGGTTTCAAATTTAATGAAATGTCATTCAAAGTTGCTGTTCATAGCTGAAGCAAGTAGGTAGATTTTTATTTCTTAATAGTATTTATATGAACATTTTGTTTTGTTTAATTAAAGTATAAAATTTTGTTTTTATAAAACTTCATTTTTCTTTACGTGTTTTGAATAAACTTTTTAATGGCACTCTCATTATTTTTTCAGAATAACAATTTTATTTTTGAGATACGCACATCATTCGCATAATAACCTCATCAGGAGGTTTTTTTTCTCCATACTTTGCCTAAATAACATTTGCCAATCTATAGAATGCCTAGGCATTATATACAATGCCTAGGAAAAGTATGCAATATTTCTCATACTTCAAACCTTGCCAAAAAAACATCCGGCATATACAATGCCTGGGCATTCTATAGAATGCCGGCGTTTCATACTTTGCTGGTAACATATACACTACAGCTCCGATTATCCGGGCTAATGGAGGCCAAATTTGGATAATTGGACAACTTCAAAAAGGCTACAATAACGTTTTTAAGTAACTTCCCCTCACACTTTTTTCAGGTTTGAGAATAACAATTGAAATAGTACTACTATAGAATAGAACAAATAGCGAACTTTAAATACAAGAAACTTGCTCCAGTAATAAAAACTTTAAGGGTTGGATTATTTATGAAAAAAGTCCGATTTGAAAATGGTGAAATTTTAAGAAGCTTCTAGCAATTTTCTATGTAGTTTGGATTAATTTGGAAAGAACACTTTGAATAGTAAAGGGTTTTCCACAAATTTCCACATTCTATTAAATAAGATTTATTAAAAATTACATCAGCATTGTATAGAACTATATTCTTCATACTATTAAACCAAATTTATTAAAAACAGAACTATATTCTATTAAATTATGTTTTATTTCCTAATACCATCACATTTTGTTGTCATAACCATCATTTTAGGGTATTATAATTTGTTATGAAATTCGTGGAAAACCCCTTTTCATTTACAAAATATTCAAATCGGACTTTGTTCATAAGTTACTAAACATGTTTCTGAACAAAATTATGAAAAAAATTTTAATGCTTTGCTCGCAAGCGCAGTATAAAGGATTTATTTTAAATACACATATCTTGCCCATTTTTTTAATGAATTTTTTCCAAATTTTAAAATACTATTTTTAATATTAATAAAAATTACTCGATTTTTTTTAAATATTTAAAGATCATTTCTGATTTAAATTAAGAATACGTAAGTAAAAAGAAATTAAGTTTTTTTTAACATATCTCTATGAATATTTAAGCTAGGCTTACGAACTTTTGTGCAGTTATTTCATATGCTAATCAACGTAGTTGACTTGAATTACGAACTTATCGATGCACTTTTTGGCATAAGGTGTTTAAAAAAATTCTTTTTCGTGCGTAACTTATTACTAGTCTCTCAAAATTCTCAACGCTATAAACTTTATTGATATGTATGAGAAATCACATGATTTAAACACTTCTAATGTTTTAAAATAATTCTCTAAGTATTTCTTGAGTAATATGAAAAAATAAGTTCGTATAGAAGTGTTTGTTTCCAGAATTTTGTCTAAACCATGTACTTGCCACCCACATTGAAATTGAACGGAAAAAATATCAAGATTATTTTCAAGATCTCCAAAAAACAAAAGAAAGCCATTTTTCAACCCTTTTCAGATATTCTGAAAATAAAATGGCACTTTTGCAATAAAAAAATTCTTTTGAGAGGATGTGGATAACAAATGGTACTTGAATGATCGGGAAAATAGGAGAATCCGGTAAATCGGCGTTTGAATAATCGGCACTCTATTGTATTGCGAAAATTTATATAATAGCACCCAACTTTACTGAATTTTCCCGTAGACTATCAAGTACTCCTGATCTCTTGGTTTAATCAAAAACGCTTTCGGTTTTTGCATATTTTAAAAGTTTTATAAAGTAAGGGCGAGTTTTGATTTTAAAAAAAAAAGGGACGTAACAGAAAAATAAGTTTCTATATAAATAAGTATCACTCATGAACGCCATTAACGTAGGGGATGGGGCCGTATTTGTCACCCTAAACAAGAAATTTCGAAAACTTCTGTCTCCCTAATATTTCAGACAAAAACTGAAATTTAATTAATTTAAAAAGATACTTAAGACAATGGCTTAAAATTTTTGAAAAGGAACTTTTCATTTAGCTTAATAACTGCATTCACTCAATAATTGTATTCTTAATTCGTATTCCACAATTCAGATAAAATGTTACCAACCAGCTTATAACAATCTGAATATTTATAGTTTTATTCTTTGATCCAACCCTAATCTCGCCGATATATTAAAACTTATAAAGAATATTTTTCATTCAGCCCATTAACTGTATTCACTCAACATAATTCTCAGCTCGTATTTTAAAATTCAACTTATTATTAACATTTAAATCTGATAATAAATCACATTAATTATAGTTTAATTCTTTTCTAAATCTAATAACTGAACGTTCTTATATCATTTTGCCATAGTTTTTTAATTCGGTGGTTGGTTATTAGCACAGTGAACAGTTTCTTTTCAGTTATGGAACTTGTAATAAAAGCATCAAATCATTTAATAATTCAAAAACGATCATAAAATACATATATACTCGTACATATAAATCGGTATTTTTTCAAAAAATATTTGGAGAGTCAAAGCAGTGAACAATATCAACTGAATACTTCGCACACAATACTTCGTACTTTGTAGAACAATTATTTTCCGAACGATATTTTTAGAGAGTGGCTGTTTTAATTTTATGCTGATGACAACCAATTGTTTCTCCAACACAGGAAANTATATATATATATATATAGAATTGTTTGATTAGATGTGTGATTTAAATATGAAGAAGAGCAATGATACGGGGGGGGCATAACTATAATCTATGTAGAAAAACAATATTTTCTTTTTTGAAGAGAAACTTCTAATGCGACTTCCAACAAGGTTGTGTTAAACGTTTAACGCTACCAAGGAGGGGGTATGAAAGCACTGTTGCATTAAACGTTCAACTCTCCTGGGGAGGGGGAATAGAAAGAGACAGAGCGAGAGTGAAAGCGTGGCACTCGAACGCATGAGCGCAGTATACCTGTTACAGGCCAGCGCGAGCGTTAGTAACGAGTAGCGTTCAATATTCCAACGCAAGAGAGAGAGAGAGAGAGAGAGAAAGAAAGATACATAAAGGTGGAAAGTAGGAGAGAGAAAGAGAGTGAGTCGGTAGAAAGAGAGTGAGTCGGTAGATCCCAAGCACATGCGCGTGGTATTCTTGCTAAGCAGCGAAGTAAACAGTGTGAGCGCCGTGAAATTAGCTGAAATACGTACTTGTTGTTCTATGTTATTGTTCTATTTTAATTTATAATATTCATTACTTCATTCACTTGTTTTTTTAGTTTGATTTCATACACATATAATTTAATAGGGTAGTATTTTTTATTTTCAAATTTAGTGGATAACAATTGTAAAAAATGAGTGGAAACAATCCCACTGACAATGCGACGGATTTAAGGTTATGTGAAGGTACGTCTCTTGTGAATATCAATTGATTGTTAGGTTTTCTCTTTTCTAATTGCCATTTATACTTCACCAAATGCAGCCATGAGGGATATTAAATTATTAATAGCAAAATCTTTATCGCCACTATCCACTGCAGGTTCACAAGCTCTGGCAGACGTTACTGGTGAAGAAATTGATTATTGTGAGAGGTCTGTGATCCTTGCAGGAGATTTTAATGTGAATTTTTCGTTACCTGAAGCTGAAACACTATTAACCTTCCTTAAAGACAAATTTGGATTGGAAATGATAAATGGTAGGAATGATCCAACAACCAAAGGGTGAACTACCATTGACACAGTTTTTGAAAGAAATATTGAAAAAATAGAACTCAAACATTTCGTTTCTTACTTTAGTTATCATAATCCCATTGTAAATGTTGTAGATTTCAGATATTTCTCCACTCAAAAACGATAATTAAAAGATGCGATCAATTGTGAATTGTAAGCAATGTTAATAAAGTTTGTCTTAAAGAAACAATATGATTTCACTAAAAATCAATTTCTACCCCTTCCTATTTTCATTTCCACATTACGAAGTTTCACTTTTTCTTCACGGGGGGACTCCACGCACTATTTTTTTCTTACTCTCAGCCCTAGATCTAGAGTTTTTGTCAGCTCAACTTGATGAACCAAAAGAAGAGTAATAAGCAAGCAGAAATATTAAATCTAAGGTAAAATCTTTGGCCTCCTTGATCAACGTTCCAGTTTCCCCCAAGCACTCTGTAACGTAAAAGTAGTGGGTTCGATTTTCTGTCGTATTCCTGGATTTATTTTCGTGGAGTTCTTTTTAAACTTCTAATTTCTTGTCTTTAACTTGATATGGGCATATAAGCCATATTTTTTTCTCTCCACATAAGTCTGCATGTTTACGTGTAGCAATAAATATCAGTATTCAATTCCAATTTCTAGCGTTCATCAGTATACTGATCGTAAGACATGGTTCCCAATAGGACATCGAAGACAAGCATCACAAGCTTTGGTCAAGGAGCTACTTCGTTCATTCTGAGTGTGGGCGAGGGGTGCAGTTTATCGATCACAGTTAAGCTGTTCTAGAAATGCTTGTTTTCCTGCTCAGGTTGACGAGCTGCAAAAACAGAAGAGTCATCCTTTATGTGAGGATCAAAATTGTGATGCCATTGGTTTCGGATCATCCGCGGGGATAACCCGCATCACCAATATCCCTTAGTGCAGCTTTATTACAACTTTAATATGGTACTATTGCTAAAAAAATCTTTGACAAATATTAAATTCCAAGACTTCCCATCCCGCAGTCGGACTGATCGTTAAAACACGGTTTCCAGTAGAACACCGAAGTCAAGCATAACTGTCTATTGTCAGTGTGCAGGTGGGTGACCACTTGGATCAGTTTCCCAAGGGACAGAGGATGTGTGGTATTGATCCTAGTCTACCGTAAAGTGCTCGACTTCACGTGCAGGTCGTCGGACTACTGAAGCAGGGGTGTCTTTCCCCCCTGAAGAGGATCAAAATTGTGATGGCATGTCTTCAGATCATCTTCGGGGTTGTTTCTTAAACCATCGCCAATAGCCCACTGCGCAGCTCTAGTGCGAAGTAAATGAACTACAACAGCAACCATCAGCATCTCAACAACCCATTGTGCAGTCCCGCAGTGGACTGATCGTTAAGACGCGATTCCCAGCAGATCACCGAAGTCAAGCATCACTGGCTACGGTCAGTGTGCGGGTGGGTGACCACTTGGATCAGTCTGCGTAGAGACCGAGGGTGTGCGGTATGGGTCCTCGCTAAACTGTGCTACCGTAAAGTGCTCGACTTCGCGTGCAGGTCGTCGGGCTACCGAAGCGGGGGTGCCATCCCCTCCTCAGAGGATCAAAATTGTGATGGCATGTCTTCGGATCATCCTCAGGGTGTTTTGTCAGACCGTTGCCAATAGCCCATTGTGCTGCTCTAGTGCGACGTAAATGAACTACAACAACGACAACCCATTGTGCAGCTCTAGTGTGACGTTAATAAAGTACCTACCTGCCTGTCTCAACAACTCAACTCCACCTAAATTGTTTAGCAAAGACTTTTCAACCTTTCTTTTTATCTTTGAATATTCCTAGTGTATGATTCATTTCAATCTAACATGTGCCGTTTTCTTTTTAATCGTAAATTTTATTTCTGTTTGTATCGTGCCTATGTAGAATCGGTAAGTAGAATTATGTTTGCAATTTTTTGTTCATATGTTTGTAAAATATTTATTAATTCGTAAGTTTTATCCCTGTTTGTATCGTACCTAGGTAAAATGGGAAAATAGAATTATGTTTACGATTTTTCGTATATATGTTTAGGAAATATTTTTGAATTCTTAAATTTTATCCCCGCTTTTACCGTGTTTGGGTAGAATGGGTAAATAGAATTATGCTTGCAATTTTTTCTACTTACTTTTGTAAATAACAAACAGGTATCAAAAGTTTGTTTGTATTAATATTTGTATTCAGTTTTGCGTATTTAGTCACTAATTTATCTTCCTCAAAATTTTGCCTGATCGAGGCAGAGTTTCCATCAAAAATCTACCTGAAACTTGGACATAATACAGAATGTTTATAAAGTTCCGGACCCATTTTGATGCTTAATATCTCACAAAATAATTAAGATAGATTGAAATTAATAACATAAATGGTTAGAAAGACTTAAAGTTTCATGACCCTTGTCAATGAACTTCCACGTGTGCCCCCTTCGTCGCACGGAGAATATCAAGTCGATAGCCAATTTCACGCCAGGTAGTGGCAAGCATGTCGGCATACTCAGAGGCTATTGCGGTTGTAATTCTGGCTTTTAGATCATCAATGTTCGACAAGATCCTCCTGTAAACATTGTATTTTATATATCCCCAAAGGAAAAAGTCCAGCAGCGTTATATCAAGTGATTTGGGTGGCCAAGGAACTGGATCTCTGTGATCTGTCTCATCAGTCGTATACTTAGACATGTTGGAAAACTTCGTATTTCCACAACTAGAAGAGCTTCAGCCACATGTCTTTCTGCAACAAGATGGTGCACCACCTCATTGGGGTATCATCGTTCGTAGTTCTTTGAATGACCATTTTCCAGGAAAATGTAATTTTTCCGTTGTATCGCCACTCCGATTATTAGAACCCTTTGGATTTTATAGAAATGTATTGTGATATTTGACCGAAAATTTTCTAAAGCTGGATTTTTGTTTGGCACAGATGGATTCTGTCCTAGAAAGAGTTCGCATTTACTTTTTGTACTTCATAGTTATTTTTATTTCGTGAATTTTCAAATTAAAGATTTGCTCGACTCATTTAAATTATAATTTATGAAATGCGTGTAATGCAGTTTTATTATTGCTTTTACCAGTATTAAGCAGTAATAATATTTGCTATCTATGCTATTTATTTTCAAATTTTGTCATTTTGTTACAAGCAAAATAATACGTAATGTCATAAAAATTTTTTTAAATATGCTTTAGCATTAAACAGAAAACTGTTTAAAACAGAATTTTGTTCAGCAACCTTGGTTTCTGCCTAAAAAAATATTAGTTTATTTTATTTGTGTTTTTACTCATTTATTCTTAACGGATTTGTCGATTGAATTCGAGATTTTAAAGTTGAAATGTTCTTATTTGGAAAATACGTGTAAGGCGAATATTCAAAATTTTTTTTTCAATTCTAGGCCAAAAGAAATTGCACAACAACAAACTTTAGACCTGCGTTACTTTGGACACTTGTTTACATACTACTCTTTTTAATAATGCCATCAGGCATTGTATATTACTTATACAATCATGCCGCTTCTGCCAAGAGTATGGCGATTCCAGCGGCGTTTTCATTCTTGCTGTTTTCTCTGGTAGCATTTGTAAGTATCTCTCTTATAAGTGCTCTTATCAAAATGACTTAATATAATTACTTGCTATGCATACATTTCTTTTAGCCCCTAACACGTCAAAAATATTTGAAGTCATTTTTTCCACCAGATATAAATATAATATAAATTTTGTTAATATATTTATGGATAAATTAATTGTAAATATATAAAAAAATTAAATTATTTCTGCAACTATATAAACGGCATGTGACGTGTCATGTCACTTGTATGGTGGCATTAGTCAATTAAGTATTAGTAACGGATTTGCATGCTGACCTATTTTTTATATATAAAGTAGTATCACCGTAACATTTCATTATTGTGAAAGGAAGAAATCTGCATTTTCTGAATAAAACTTCAAAGAAAACGTTAGAAATGATTTAACTGATGAACTTCACTTATTAGCGCATTCGCCTATCTATGGCTGCTGATCTGAGGCCCGTGAGGGCTGATTGATACGAAATCTAACCCACCTGGCACCATCAGCAGTGCTTACGTAAAATATCCATCTGAAAGTCCTCCAGGAAGGAAAGTTTGCCTCAATGCTTGATCCTGAAAGTTCCATGTCTTCTAGGTTTGGTTCAAAATGACAAGGCTGCGGAGATGAATATTGACAGTCAAAAATTCAAAATTAGGTTCTCTGCTCAATGCTGGTTCTAAAATAGAATAAAATCCTGTAATTTTTAATTGAACTTAGGATTAAATTTTTCAGTTCTTCACCCTTCAGAAAAAAAACCCAAAATGTATTTCAATCTTTTTGCAAATTTAGAATTTTAAAGTCTTTAGCAGTAGATAAGTTATTGTTAAATAGCAGTTTTCACAATTTTCAGTTATTAAGCAATTTTCAGTTCAGTAGCTTGACTTACGCTGATATTTGTTGGCATTAAAGCAATATTTACCTCTATTTTTCATTGCATTTGGCAAATAAGACAATTGAATGCCAAATAAATTTGAAAAATAGTGAATTACAGGAAAATCTTACCGAATTAATTCACTGTATATCCCAATCCATCATTATCAACGTCAGAATTAATTGTCATCATACCCAGTGTCAAACATATTGGTCGGAATTAGTTTAATTTTATTACTTTAATATTTTAAGATTTGTTTTTCTTTTTGTATATGGAGGCCTCCTACACTCATCTTTGATTTTAGATAAATTTTTTAATATGTGTTTATTTTTCATACTTAACAAAGCTTTGATGATATAATATTAGAACAATACCTTTCTAAAAAGTTAGAAAATGAAAGGGTTGATTTTTAGATTAGAAATAGTGCTTGATATTTTTTAGAACTTCTGGGAATTTTCTCCTAAAAACTTAAAGGCACTAAAACGGTGTAATTTGTAATTTCGAGTGAATAATTTTAAAACGACACTTAATTTTTCGACTTACTCAGTTTTTTTTAAATTTTTTAAAACTTAATTTTATTAAGTTTAAACTCATGAAACCAGGTTTGGAGATAGCAAAAAAAAAAAAATTTTCGTTACTTGCATAAGAACAAGATCTTATCAAAGATCTAAGAACAAGCAACTGTACACTATTGAACTACAAATCAAAAACTGATTGCAGAATTGTATTGCTTTAATTTCATCAGAAAAAATGAATGGAGAATCTAAAATACCACACACTTAATATTGGGATTGGATATCGGCCTTGCATTAAACCTATATCAAAAGATACTACAAAATAGAGTAAATATTCATTTTAGTTTTTAAATTAAAAAAAGATTAAAAGAATATTTAGAACTTTCCCTTCCCATTTTCATCCCCGTAGACTCTTGAATTTGATAGGAAGAGGCCTCTTAACAACGTGAACGTTTTTGAAAAATAACTCTTTATTCGCGTTTGTCGGTATTTAAAATTAAAATTAAAAATAAGGAACATGAAGTACTTTATGAAACTGCCAAAAGTTAACTTTATAAACTTCCTATTACTCACATCTAGTGGACTTTGCTTCATGCCCCAAATTATGAAGAAATGTAACTAATAGCTTCTGAATTTCTGTTTCTGGCCAAAATAAATACCAATTGAAAGATTCCCTCACTACATGCATGGTGCGTCGCGAATTGCTCTTGTTTTTTTTTCCTGTTGCCCTTCATTCAAAAATTTGCTTAAACGGCCTTATCTATACTTAGGACAAGTCACATAAAAAGTTAAACCTTTCACAGAAAAGACATGCTTATTGTCAGTGCTCACCCATATTGTCTTCTCATATTCTCTGTAGGGGCAGTTGCTGCATTGAGGCTTTTTGATACATGATCTTTTAAATTTGGTTCAGGGATCTAAACTAAGGAAATGAGCAATATCGCAACTTATGAAGAAGTACACAAAAAGTATCTAACAATAATTAAAAAATCAAATCATTCTTATTCAGAAGCTCAATAAACTTCCCTTCCTTTGTCCCCTGATACATTATTTTCGTTCCATATTTCAAGCCACAGCAGTAGTATTTGCAATCATCCGGATCAATCAAGGTTAAATTTTTTTAATCTTAATTTGCATGAAAACTACGAATGAGTTCTGGTTTTCCCCAGAATTTCATTCCATGCCATTATTTTTGGCTCAGGTTTTCCAGTTTGCTCTACTAATATTTACGAGGTTTTTTTCCAAACAATCAATACCCATAAATTTGGTTCCCCGCTTTTTAGAAAATAGGATGTTATGGCCTAGGGGCTCAACCATTATCCAATATTTTAGGTATTCTATGAATTCAAAGGTTTCTATAGCAAACTTAATATCTTGCTATTCCTATTAGAAGACGTAATTTGTTTCCACTCGTCGTTCTATTGCAGTCCACGTGTACCAAAGTGTGGTACACGTACCCCCAGGGGTACAGGAACATTTTAGAGGAAGTACGCGTTCTTATGCGAAATATCTTGCAACAAAGAAAATTAAAGAAAAATTATTTAAAAACAAATCTACGATTACGTATTTTTCTATTGGCTATTTTTTTGCAGAGTTAAGTTAATAATTAGTGGTGTCAACAGCCAGTTGTGATTTTTAACTTTTGGTGCAATTTTTTTCACAGCAAAAACAATATCATCCTGCTCACTGATGCAAATAAACTTATTAACAAAACTTGGTACCAAAAAAGAAAATAAACACACTTTTTAAAAAAAAATACTTTCATTCTTTTATTAGTGGTACGCAGCGTTTCGAAAAAGTTAAAAAGGGTACACAAAAATCATAAGTTTGGGAAACACAGTTCTATAGCATCAAATTTTCCGCTCAATTCATTCTCTTCTCTTCAACGTTGCAATAATTTGGTACTTTCTTCATTTTTCATAAATGCTACATTATCTTTCAATTTTAGAGTTCCAAATTGAGCGATGGGAATTTTTTTTATTACTGAAAAACCTTTGAATTTAATGAGTCTAAACTCTCTTAAGTCGAAAAATTTAGATAGTTCCAGATTGATAAAATCTGTTTTGTTTTCGGTCGAATCACTTTATATATGAAAATCAAAGCACTTTAAAAAAGAGTTTTGGAGCAAAAGAGATTTAACAAAACTGCCTGGAGAAGAGTGGAAGAAAAATAAAACTTTAAAAAAACTATGATGCTAGACTGCCGACTAGGAGTTGCAAAAATCAAATGGTCTGTGTGAAAGATCTGTTTAAATCAAAAACTATGTGCATAATTGAGAAGAATGAGAATAAAAGCAGCTGCCTGAACAGTAAAATGTGAATTAAAATTTTGGAACGAGACTGAGAATATCGCGCACTGCTCTGAACCTTTCGAACTCACTGTTAGCTAACAAGAGAAAAGTATAGACTGCAGAGATTAAACCTAAATGTAATGCTTTGATGGAGCTGTCAGTCAACCAGTCCTAATCTTTCTAAATTTAAACTAATTTTGCTTGATGGATTTTGTTTTCGCTGGTTTTGCCGATTCTCGGAATATTTTGGAATTTTATAGCCCACCTAAAACATTAGAAAAATTAGTTTTTTTTCTCTTTATAGTCGATAATTTTATGAATTTTTAAATCATAAGCATTTCAACTATATAATGCTTAAAAGATTCCCTAAATAAAACCAAAGTACGAACATATCTCGAGTGAAAAAATTTAATCAATGTTTAACAATCAAATTTTTTCTTACTCTTAAAAGCAACGCGAACAAACAACAAACTGAGCATTTTAAAATTAATACCAACCAAAAATGAAACTTTTTAGATAATAAAAGCCAAAAATTGTAATATTTTATATAATATATATAGCTTTAGAAATTCTTGTTTTGGATCTCTTTACTTGATATAAATGTCTTCATTTTTTTCAGTGTCTCAGGACTATTGGTAGTTTACTTATAGGAGCAAAAAAACTGTTGCCAAAAATGAAAACCAGCCAAAACCAGCCAAAAATGAAAATTTAAGTGAGAAAAGCCAAAAATTGTAACATTTTATATAATATATATAGCTTTAGAAATTTTTGTTTTGGATCTTTTTCCTGATATAAATGTTTTCTTTTCAGTTTGGTACGACTCTTTATGATTTACTTAAAGAAGCAAAAAACATGTTAAACGCAATGGATACGATTGAAACTTTTTCATCAAGTGACGCATCTGACAATGAATCTGCTATTGCTGCCTCTCAGTCTGAGCAGTTTATGAATTGGTTCTATAAGGGTCCTCATTTAGAACCTTGGCCACATTCTAGAATACCACAGTCGGATGATTGTGAAGCATTGAGAAGCCTTCGTCACACTAATCAAAAATCCCGTCGAAATTACGAAAAATTATGTTCTCAGCAAAGTCCAGATTCTGCTGTTTCTGAGACTTCCTTCATTGAGAGTGCGCAAGAAAGTTATGACGAAAGTAATTTACTTCTGCAAGCAGAACATAGAAGTCTCAATCCATCGAGGTCATCAGAGGAACACACAAAAGTAACACTCAGAAGTCGCCATCCTTCTGAATCATTAAAGGAACATACAGGATTAACACTCAGAAGTCGCCATCCATCGGGATCATTAGAGGAACACACAGGATTAACACAAAGTCTCAATCCATCGATATCATCAGAGGAACAAGCAACCTCATCTACTTTTGTGACTGTAGCCGAAGTCCACAGATCAAACTACGAGGAGAGCGATTGAAAGTAAACCCATGAGATGCATCAAGGAAGCAGAACGACAGTACTTAACGAAAAAGTTCAAGTATACGTGTCTTAGCAGTTTGCAATTGCGCAAGGATTCAAAGGATTTAAAAATTAAGGTTACACAATTTCTTTTTCTCCAGACTTTTCTCCTCTTCTTTGCCATGGTTACAGTAAGTCTAGCTTTTATATCCCCACGCAAAAACTGACTCCAAATGTGAACCATACTGCCGTGGGGGAAAACAAAATTTTGCGAAACCATGGCGACGAAAAGTGTGTCTAGAGCGGAATTTTTGTAACTTCGAAACTCATATTTTATGTAAGATAAATCAAGGTTTAAAAATGGATCTTTTAGCGAGTTTTGTTTCCATACGGTATTTAAAATTTAAATTTTAATTGCAATCTGTTTCGATTTTTATATATATATTTCCGCGATATGTATCAAGGACTTAAATGCATATACATTTTAATTTTTTTAATAATCTGTGTATATAATTTTGAGAAATACTACAGATTTAAAAAAAATTCATTTATAAGCATTTCTTATAGATATTTACTTTAACGATATGCTCCAATGCTTTAAGACATTTAGCTGCCTTCCTTAATTTTAATGATCTGAATCATAAGTTCTTTTAGCTGTACGCTTTTTATGTTGAAAATTAAATCAAAATTGTAATTTATACGCATTTTAATAGTAGTTACATATTTTAAGTGTTGTTCAAAAGATTCAAAAAATAAAGCTGAAAGCATTTCATTACAAAAAATCATAAAATAAATAAATTTCACTATTTTTGAAAATTTTAAAACATGCACTTTAGAACCTTTTTTAGAAAGCTAAATGTATCATTAAAGATTTGATAACATTCTATTTCGTTCAAATTTATATCTTCATGAAGTATTCCAAGGATGTAAATATTGGTCATATAAAAACCTTTTAATAGTTTATTTCTCTATAATTTCAAATTTATATAGTTTTGATTTATTAAAAATATTTACTAAAACCAAAGCTTTTTCCTCTTTTATCCACGGTTTTCTTAAACTATATGTTACTATACACTTAAATATATACTTAACTATTACTTAACTATAAACTATATACTTATATAAAGGCTGCAAAATATTACTTTCTTGTGGAAAATTCTTATTTTTAAACTGTTTCCAATGTTTTGCAAAACTACAGCAAGTGTTTTTGAATCTTGTAAAATTATAATCAAATATGTTCTAAGGTATGTTTATGTTAATTTATTATTCTCACAACTATTTTTATTCATTTCTTACAATGAATTAATGTTTGTTTCATGCTAATGCGTTCTTGTGGTTCTTAATAAAAAAAAATTTATACAATAAGCTCGTATTTTAAATGGAATTGATAAACGAAACATCATTGAATATTAGAAAATTAAAAAGTTAAAAATAGTTTTCAAATGACAAATTCTAAATACAGAGAAAAGTTAGTTTGGATTTTGTAAGAACATTGTTGCCAATGTTCCAGAGTTGAAATTTAAATAAATCAATAGATATACTTGAAGGATGGAAATGTATGGCAGTAGAAAATCTGCTGAATTTCAACATAATAGATCTGAAACATTGGTAAAAATTTAAAAAAAAAAAAAAGTTAAACATTTAATTTTTGGTGTGAGGTTTCTACGTTTAGTTTGCTAGCATAGTTAGGCATAGAAAAACTTTTTAATCAACCAGTTGCTTTTATGAACTATAAGATTTTTAATGTTTGACATCTATTTAATATTAAAAGTTTTCAAATTATGTGGTTTAGTCTTTGGAAAGTTTGCAATAAATATAGTTGATGTTAAGGACACAGTTGGTATTCTCACTAGACATTTAGACACCAAGTTTTTATCACAATCCTAAGAATTTCTCTTGTCATAGTTAATATTTCATGGAAATGAAACCATGCATAACAAAGTCTTTTCAATATTTTTGAACCTCTGAATTAGATGTTGTTCAAAGGCAATTTTAATTTTTAATTAAATTAAATTATTTATTAAATTATTTAATTAAATTAATTTTAATTTTAAACTGTTTCGTAGCATAATGAAGTGTTTGTCGTGATGCTTCAGTAGGGGAATAGAAAAACTAGTTTCTTGAGCTTATAAGATTTCCTGTTGCAAAATATCTAACTAAGACTTATAAATAAATTATTTATAATTTATTGTAGAGAAATTTTTTTTAAATACAGGTCTTCAAATTTACTTTTCATCAATAAAAATATACACAAATTATGCTTGACAACAAAATTTTTTTATCAAAACTATAAAATATGTTACAATCTGTGTTATGGAACAAAAAAGTTAAAATCTCACAACTATAATTTAGTATATTGTGTCTCATATCAAGAAGAAATAATTATACTGTTAAAAGTTATTACTTAAATAATTGTTTACTTGGTTATTCGTAATTTCAATTATATATACTCACATTAATAACTCATAAATTATAATGCTAAGAATTCCCCTAGCAAGCAATAATGTGTTCAAATTTAATAATACAACAATGAAAAAAATAATAAAAAATTATGACTTACAAGATTAGTTTATATAAAATATAAGTTGCACCATTTTATTAAACTCTAAATCTATCAAAACAAAAAATTAATATTTAAGCAAATTCAATAAATCAGCTAAATATTGTGGAATGCTTTTGATTGCATTTTCTAAAGAAAACATATTCATAACAGAATACAATTAATATAGTTTCTTACTCATTCACTTTTAGCTATGTAATTCACATTTTTATTGTGCATCCAAGAGGGATCTTGTAAGTTGAAAAAGTTTTGATCCATTGGAAAATTTTAAATTAAAACATTAAATTAAACGTAAGGATGAAATTAACTGAAGCTGCAATCATACAGTGTTTATTTTCTTGCAAGAGATTATGATGATCTGATTGACAAAATTTGTTGTAACGAGAAAAATTTGCACACCAGTTTTTCATCTTTGATTAGAATATGCTAATCTATTTTATTAGAAAGAAATTCTGGCACTTAATATAGCTTTTTCCTTCACATCGTAGCTATGGTATCTCAGCACAGTGTTCTCCTTAATTGTAAATTTAAGAAACTTTCTTTAGTTTCATCAGGAGAATTTTAGGAGTAGGCTGAAATCAGGTCTTATGTAAAAATCTTAACATTTCAAGCTTTGGATTTTATTCTTAAACGCGCAAGGAATGTAACTAATTGATGACACTGAAATCTTCCATGGAAGATTTTCTCTGCCTCTAGTAATATTTTTAAGCTCTGCAAGTTTCTGTACGAACTTAAATATCAGCAAAATATTTCGTAAAGTTTGTCTAACATAAGAACTTCCCCAGACATTCGTGCGGACCTGTGGCGATTACTATGGTAACGAGGAATGACTATTTCAAGTAGGGGTGCGAGGTCACTGTTTTGGAGTGGTTTCGGGTCCGGTCGGCAAGAGAAAGGTAATCACTTTCTTCGGTCTATTGTGTTCACTCCCAGAGCAAATCTAGCCACCCTAAAATGCTAAAATGCACCGTTCTTTTTTCCATAGCACCAGACTGCCTCAGACTTTGTGGCTGAAAGAGTTCTTAGCTTAGACAAACTGTAAGAACCTTAAAGGTGTTTATGATTTGCTTATTTTTGCTGATGTGGGAGGGAAGGACCAAAAATTAACTAAACATTCTCACGTAATATTTGAATGACCCCTAAAAAATTTCTTCGAAAGCGGGGTTGTGAATTCGAATATGGATGTTCATAGATTTGGTGAAAAGTTTGAGTAATAAAATAAAATCCATCAATTCAAATTTTTGTTCCTTCATTTCTGACAGAGATTTTATATAAGGATGCATTTTGTAAATTTGATATTTTTTTATTATAAAACTTTTTTTATCATAAAATTTTTGCTATGTGAAAGTCATTTTTTGACAAAGTACATAATTTAAAATATACTTTCTCAGAAAAAAAATTATATATCATTAATTTGGGTTTCAGTCTAAATAATTATTATTATTTTTTTTTAATAACAATTGTAATTTTTTTGGGAGAAATTTGGATTTTCAAATTTTTTAGAATTAGAAAATTAAATTTCTCTTTAAATGTCATTATTGTAATTGTGTATATGTTAATTTTTTACAAAACCAAATAAAATAATAAATATAAGCAAGTGTACAGTGCGACAAAAAAAAAACGAACCATCCTGACAAACATTGAAAATAATGATTGGATCATCGCGTTCTAGGACTCAATCTTAGTGACTCAAAAAGGTGACCTCAAATATGCTGATTAATAAGTGCTGACGATATTTTTAGTTACGAAATTAGGCACAAAAACGTACTATCTCTAAACAAACATACCTTCTTTTTTTAGACTGATTCAGATTTCTGACACCAAAAATATAGGGGCAACTGTGATCTGGAAAATATGGTCCCCCTAGATTCGTTAGGAAAGCGCTTCAAAGTTTGGACCCCTTAATGTTAACTAAATTTCGTTCCATATCTCGAGAACATTCTAAGTTAATTGAAAATTTTTACGCACAATTATAAACTTCGTCTATTCAAAGATTAATTTCAAGGAATAACTTCCAGTAAATATTAGTTTTTTTAAAAAATTTAATTTAAGAATGAATGAAAAAATTTCGAATCGTGAGGAATGCAATTTTTTAATCATTTTAAAGAATGTAATTTTATAAAGCAAAATACAAATTCGAGAGAAATCTGTCGAATAGTTCCTGCGAAATTGAATTTCAAAAGTCACATAATTCAATATTTAAATTAAATTCAGAATTAAATTCTTAAATTCGCGACTGACTAGGCTCAAATTTGCATTTTTCCATATTAAATTACGTCCTTTAAAATGATGCCAAAAATTATGTACCTTACAATTCAAATTTTTTTTTACTATTCTTAAATAAACTTAAAAAAATAATAAATAACTAAAAATATTAACTTTGAAACGCTCTCCTAACTATAATCTTCCAACTAACTACTAAACTATTGGGATAGAATTCCTAGATTGCAGCTTTAGTGTTGATATCATTATTGAAGTCGTTGTAGTTGTTGCAGTTAATTTACGTCGCACTAAAGCTACACAATGGGCTATTGGCGACGATCTGGGAAACATCCCTGAGGATTATCCGAAGACAGGCCATCACAATTTTGATCCTCTGCAGGAGGGATGGCACCCCCGCTTCGGTAGCCCGACGACCTGCACGCGAAGTCGAGCACTTTACGGTAGAACAGTTTAACGAGGACCAATACCGCACACCCTCGGTCCCTACGCAGACTTATCCAAGTGGTCACTCACCCGCACACTGATCACAGCCAGTGATGTTTGACTTCGGTGATCTGCTGGGAGCCGTGTCTTAACGATCAGTTCACTGCGGGACATTATTGATGTCAATACTATACTGGCATCAACAATGCCGATTTGATATCATATTGATGTCAAGAAAATTAATTTAATACCAGTTCAATTTTGTATTGACTTGAGTTGACCATTTCTTGCAGGGTTGTGTTGTCTAATAATAATATATCATCAAGAGTTTCTTGAGTTCAAAAAAAGAAAAATTATGAACATTCAATTAAAAATTTTACATAAAATCGAAGATGGAGAGAGTAAAGGCCTTTTAACTAACAATATATGTTTATGTATTAAGAACGTATTAATCACGTCTCATATTCCCTTAAAATTCGAACCTGATTAAAGTAACTTAAGACAAGGGGTTTCAAGGTTTCTCCCTGGCCGAGCGGAACGCTGTTTTGCCAAACACTCTGTAGGTAGAAGGTTCGATCCCCTCCCTTCAAAACTTGCATGCAGATGTATCGTATTTTCTAATTTGTGCAATAAGTTCTCAAACTTGACATGGGCTTATGAGACATATTTTGTGATGAGCACACAAGCCTGCATATTTATGTGTGACCATAAATCAATAAGTAAAAAAATTTCTCAGTTCCACCCTATTGACAGTTGAATTGGATCGGGAATAAAGAGTCTTTTAAATAAAGGCTCAACTAGAAGTGTGAATTTCTCAGTTGCCATCCAGCATGAGTTTAACTTGCTTACTTTTTGAAGAAAAAGGCAAATTTAATCATATGTTTTCGATAAGGTTGTTGTTGTAGTTCATTTACGTCTCACTAGAGCTGCACAATGGGCTATTGGCGACGGTCTGGGAAACATCCCTGAGAATGATCCGAGGACATGCCATCACAATTTTCATCCTCTGCAGGAGGGATGGCACCCCCGCTTCGGTAGCCCGACAATCTGCNCTTGTGTACGAAATAGATTTTGAGTTTTTAGAATAACGGTGTGCGTAAATTTTAATAAAAGTATTGTTTTGTTTTTCTTTTAAAAGTTGTTTCTTACAGAGGACCAATACCGCACACCCTCGATCCCTACGCAGACTTATCCAAGTGGTCACCCACCCGCACACTAACCACAGCCAGTGATGTTTGACTTCGGTGATCTGCTGGGAACCGTGTCTTAACGATCAGTTCACTGCGGGACTTTCGATAAGGAAAAACCACAGGAGTTGTTGTCATCTTATGTGCGTACAAATTTCAGCAATCTGCTTTATTAGTTATTTAAAACATTTGAGTGACGGATAAAATCTCTTCTTGTTCACGAAATCTTGTTTAAAGGATGAAAACTTCTATAATTTTAATAGTTTGTATGGTTGTCGAAAATACGTCAGACATTTTTTATCTACCTGAAAGGATGAAAGCTGAAAATTTTTCAGTCGTTGTGGGATAGGAACTTATGACCTGTTTCATCTCAACCCAGTAAAAGGTGTGTGCTGACTTTGGACCGTGAATTTGTGACCTTTTTTAAATCAAAGTACGAATTCATAATCTTATTCGTACCGCAGTGAACTGATAGTAAGACACAGTTCCTAATTAATCACCGATGTCAAACATCACTGGTACATCAGTGAGCGAGTGAGGTAGGTAGGAACTTTATTTACGTCTCACTGGAACTGCAGAATGGGCTATTGGCAACAGTCTGGGAAACATCCTTGAGGATTATCCGAAGACATGCCATTGCAGTTTTGATTCTCTATGGGATATGGTTCCTCTTCTTTAGTAGTCCGACGAAATATGTGCGAAGTTGAGCACTTTACGGTAGAACAGTTTAACGAAGACCGATACAGTGCTACCCTATGCAGGCTGATCAAAGTGGTCACCCACTCACTTGCTGACGGCAGCCAGTAATGTTTGACTTCAGAGTTTTCCTGGGAACCATGCCTTTGCGATCAGTCTGTCCACTGCTGGACTAGAGTATTTAAATTGCGATGGTGGGTTTTGGATTATCCTCAGGGATGTACCCCAGAGCGTCGTGAATTTCCTATTGTGCAGATTTAGTGGGACGTAAATAAACAAATACCACCTCCTCCAACCCATTGATGATTGGATAGTAGTAGTAGTAGTAGTAGTACAAGTTGCATTAGAGCTGCACGATGGGCTATTGGAGAAGGATTGAGAAACATCCAGAGGATGATCCAAAGACAAGCCATCACAATTTTGATCCTCAGCCAAAAGAATTGTTGTTGTTGTTGTAGCTCATTTACGTCGCACTAGAGCTGCACAATGGGTTATTGGCGATGGTCTGGGAAACATCCCTGAGAATGATCCGAAGACATGCCATCACAATTTTGATCCTCTGCGGAGGGGATGGCACCCCAGTTTAGGTAGCCTGACGACCTGCAAGCGAAGTCGAGCACTTTACGGTAGAACAGTTTAATCTATTGTCAAGATGAAGAACGGATAGTACAAGTTAAATAAGGACATCACAGTTGTTGTAGTTCATTTACGTCGCACTAGAGCTGCACAATCGGCCATTGTTGATGGTCAGGGAAACATCCCTGAAGATGATCTGAAAACATGCCACCACAATTTTGATCCTCTGCGGAGGGGATGGCACCCCCGCTTCGGTAGCCCGATGACCTGCACGCGAAGTTGAGCACTTTACGGTAGAACAGTTTAGCGAGGATCAATACTGCACACCCTCGGTCCCTACGCAGACTGATCCAAGTGGTCACTCACCCGCACACTGATCGCAGTCAGTGATGCTTGTCTTCGGTGATCTGTTGGGAACCGTGTCTTAACGATCAGTCCACTGCGGAACTTGCCAAAGGAATAGATCTTTCGCTATGGTAAGGATTTGTACGTCAAACACTTTACAGTAAAACATTTAAACGAAAAGCGATACCGCAAATCCTCGGTTCCTTCGCAGGCTGATCAAAGTGATATTCTTTCCACTCACTAACTTCTGCAAGTGATGCTTGACTTCACTGATCAATAGGGCACTGTAATAGACACTGACGGGCGTGGGAAAAAAGCCTTTTAAGAAATTTTAAAAAAAATGAGTATGAAAGGCAATTCGAAAATGTGTAAATTTGAAGTGTTAATTCTGAAAACGATTCAGTCTTAGTGGGATACGAACCCCTGACCTACTGCCCTCCTTCATCACAACCCAGGTAAAGTAATTGGTAGCTTTGGAATGCGAACTTTTTGCAGTCAAAGTTCGGAATCGTAATCTGAATCGACTAGATAGAAAGTTAGAAATAAGCAATCAGAAACGTTAAACTAATCTTCTTTTCAATATAATTAGTCGCAATTACTTCATCTTTTTTTTATCGCCATAATTCTCAGTATACCTTGTATTCAAAACAATGGGGAGTTGCTGTCAGCTTTTGCGTCGTATTGTAATGCATAATGTAAGTAAAAATTAAAAAATTTATGAAAATGATGTTTTTTTAATAAATTATCGTGTTTGAATAATATCTCAACACTATTATAGCTGGTTTTTTATCTGTTTATAATTTAGTGAATTGGTGTTGCTGATGCATAAAATATTATGAATAAAATCAAATTTGTATACATGTTATTCCTTGCTGAAATTAACCAATTTGATTTTTAAGTGCTACTCTGATAAACCTAGTTACAGTTACCTGGATGTACAGTTACCTGGATGTACAGTTACCGGGATATACAGTTACCTTTAAACATAGTCTTCATAGAGAATGATAATTCAGATTTTCTGTATAGATAATCTGTTGTAAAAATCTCGTTTTAAATCATAAGTTCAAATCCTTTGAGGCATAATGTTTTTTCGGCAATTCACATCCGTGATTTATCCACGCATTTAGTTACGCACTTAATTTAAATTATTCATATAAAAGTAAACAAAATTTCTATTGTTTTATAGTCTAAATTTTCAAAAGTAGAAAGCTTGAACGTAGCAACTCCAAACAACAACTTTGCTATTGGATTCTAACTACATCTTTATGTGCACGAAATACTATAGCACAATTCTTAAATTAAGCCAGAATTTGAAGTTTCACGTAAAGCTACTTGAAATTTTTTTGAAAAGAAATAGCGTTGAAACAGTTTTAAATTAGGCGGAAATTTATTTTAGGTAATCATATGCATTTAAATAATTCATAAAATTTCACACAAACTACACTGGTCAGTTGCATAACTAACATTTTGCGTCAAGTTAATACTACAGTGCTGTGGTAATTTATAATTCTGTTTGAAATTAAAAGTAGATTAAAATTTTACGTAAAATTTTGATGTCTTCTAAAAATATTAAATTGTAGCTAGTTATTTTTACTTTACAAGCCACTTAAAGTGATACGAGATATTTTCTTGACACAAAGATTACGTAAAAATCGGATTCTTATGAAAGCAAAGTAAAATTTAGGTTGAATAGAATTAGGTGATATCAAAATTTGAATTTCATTCTTTGCCATTTTTGATCCATTTTCGTTTAACCGGACTTGTTATTTTGTTAAACTGATGAAAATCATAGGTCGGATCCTTTACACTGTTTTTGGAGCTAGCTACAATGATTCTGACTATACCGTTCTCTAATAGATAAAAAGTTTAATCGGTTTTAATCTTAAAGAAAATTAAATGTATTTTATCCTTCGGTTTTCGTTACAATTTGATTTGTGTTAAATTGAATTTGTTTTTCTTTTAAACAATATTTTTCATTTTAGTACAAAATATTTTCCGACGCTGCATCAACACTATTTTTCATTGAAAGTTTTTTCATCAAAATAAAAATGGATATAAAATGTGCATTTAGAATTTAAGAATTTGATTGGTACATCGAACGATCAAACGAGATTCAATAAGGTTTCCGAAGTTTCTAAAAATCGTGAATTATATTTTCATTTTTGTTTCTTTTTCTGATTGAATTATTTAAAATTTAGGTAATAGAATTATTACTAAATAAATAATTACAAACGTTTTGTAGAAACTTCGATCTGGATTATTAAAGTCAAACGATTCGAAACTGAAAGTTAAAGGAATTCGGAGCGAACTTCAGAAGCTCAAAAAGACGGAGCGATCCAATAAAAAGTTTAAATGTCCGTAAATTATTTTAATTAAAGAGCGTACAAGATCTTTAATAATATAATAATCTATATGTAATTATATCTACTATAATCTATATTTTCACTCTTTAACAGCTACTTTCGGTTAAAAAAATTGGGCTTACGTAAAAGCAATTAGATATTTCAGTGCATTATTATCTTCTGAAAATTTGAAATGTCTTGTGTAGCAACGACAGCAAGAAACAATTTGACAAAAAAGTTTGAGAAACATTTTGGTTCAAACTTTTTTTGAATGACTTCTAAATCAAAATTAATTCATATATCAGTGCGGTTTAGTTTTCTCCTTTCACCAATAATTATTTTATTTCCCATAATTTAATAAACGATAAGTTTATAGAGAAAAATTTATTTTAATTTTATTTTACGCAACATTGCACTTCATTGCAGAATTAATGTAATACATGTTTAGGAGTTAAAATTTGTTCGAAAATATTAGGTCCTACGTTAAAGACTTATAACTTTAAAAATATATTCACATTTGATTGATAAAAATAATTTCGAAACTTTATTGCGATTGAATTGACGAAGCAAGTGACAAAGTCGTTTCTAAATTTCTTATTTGCTATAAACATAAGGGTAACTTAAGGCGTATCCGTTGTGTGCAAAATTAATAATATATTTCACAAATTTAAGCAGTTCTCGTGGTTAACGCCTTTAAAAGAATTTTTTTAAATTCCTTGTCTAATGTAAAGAGCAGAGTTAACATTAGGCGTAATAATGCTTTTAAATGAGAAGGCTGACTAATTGAGTCAGCATCTAGGCCGATCATTCTGATTAGATTGATCAAAAAACTAGCTTGTTTTTCCGACTGAAGCTGGTAAGCTATTTTATAATCGGCTTACACCACCGATTATAAAGTTTTCTAAGTCACCATTATTAAATTTGGAATCTATTTACACGTGATGTTTTGAGAAAACAGATCCCTCACTTACGCATTACATTTGAAAAAAACTCTCACTTACATATTAAATTGCAAACTCCTCATGAGCCTGTGGAAAGTATTCTTAAAATATGTGTATAAACTTCATCATTATCAAACATTGCATAAAATTTTCCTAAATGAAAAATATAGTATGTTTCAATGCAAGATATAATACTAAGGGTCCAACATCATCTTTCCGCACTCGTCGACTTTCGCAACTGTTTTTTTTTCTTTAAGGGGTCACAGTACCCAAAAAATGACAAATACCAGTATTTTTTATTGCTTATAATAAAACTTCAAACTATTTCGAATGCACTGAAAAAAAATCGTCTCTCTATCTACATTTTTGAAAAAGTTATGAATGATTTTAGATTGTCCTAATACAGAATCTTGCTCTGCAGACAAACTTTAAAGGGCTTTTTCTCATAAATGATAATTTTGTGTTTTGATCTTGATTAAATCCCTAAGGAATATTTTCTATTTAAGATAAAGCTTTGAAGTAAACTTTTTTATCTTAAGTATAATACACTTATTTAAACTGTGCATGGAATAAGCATTTTATAAGGTATTACAATTTTTACAGCATGATATATATATCTAACAGGAATTTTAATCCTTTTTTTCTACTTTTTTACAAAATATTTTATAAAAAATACTCTAATTGATATATCAATAAATGAATGCACAAAATTGTTAAGAAAAATATTGTAAGAACTAAGAAAAAAAAATTTTGAAAATAAGTTAAAATAAAAAAGCCTTAGGGATTTAAAAATGTTGAATTTTTCAACTTTTTTTAAAATTTTAAAAAATTTAAACAGTTTAATTGTTTTTTGAAGATAAATTATTGATTATAAGTTAAATAAGCATGTAAAGCATCCTCAAAATGAATGATTATACCTTTATTTAAAAAAATTGTTGAATCACTTCGCTAACTTGTTAGATTTAAGCGAAATATATATAAAATACAACGTATTTTACAAAAATAAAAAATCGAAAAACTGAAAGAAAAAATACAGTATAAAACGCAATTTTTTTTTCATACTTTTTTTAAAAGTTTTATATACATAGCTCAAAATGTGCTTACGAAAATTTACGTAGCTCGAAATGCTTGCTTTCGAAAATAGAAGCATTTGATTTACTACTGTTGAACCAATGTTATCATTTTACTCAAACTAAACTTCTGGGAATAATTTAACCAAAGACTTTTCGAGTTTTCTTTCCACATGTTTGCTATTTTATTTCATTTAATCCATCCTGGTCCTTGAAAATACTACTTAACTACATCATCACACAAAATTCACCTATGGGAAGCGCAAAATCCATTATAATATGCATTGCGATTATAAAAATGAGAGCGTTAATTTCTGCTTCAGTTTTGTGCTGCCATATAGCTAGAGATTTATTCTGTTATACCTGTTTTGACGTTGCTCATTGTACTGCTACTAATACTACTAAGACCTATATTACTAGATCTGTACTACTAAGGTGAGTAAAATACTATTATAAAATTTGGCAAGAGAAGTCCCGTGAAATAAAATATATTTCCTTAACTGCTGCTGCTTTATTGCTGCCAAAACATTAAGAAATTAAATTAAAAAAAGGAAATTGTACCTCAAGATGGTTAATAAACTAGTACTCTCAGTTGGTGACCTATTTTTTTTTTAAACAAGATCTAATCTTGCCTTGTTATCCTCTCCGCATAGGTCTATTTTTCACAAATTCATATGGAAATTCATGTTCTGGTATCCTGGTAATGATATTTAGTTTAGACTGGAAACTGCTAACTGTCCCTTTTTGTCTGTTTTAATTACGAATCATAAGTTTTCTACATGAAGTATTATCTCAACTTCATTTTCAAAAGAATTAATGTTTTTTTTTGGTTTTTATACTTTCTGTGCATTATTCTTTTGATACTTGATGTTTTTTTAAAATTATGTCTGAAATTGAAAACTGCAAATGCATGCATTACAAAAGTGTTTTTTTTTTTAAATTTCTAGATTAGAAAGACTAGCTGGTATATGATATCCTCTCATGTAATATCTTTTATATTTCTTCCTTCCTTCTTGATAACTATCGCTGTCCTATTCGAGTATCGTTATCTCAGAGCAATAGCTGGTGTTTACTCCGTTTTGGCTCTAGGTTTTGTAAGTATTATCTGAAATAAATAATAAATTTTCTTAAAATTTCTCTTTTTTTGCTGTTCTACATTTCTTTTAATAGCAAGCGGCAAAATAAACATTAATCTTGAATTATTCGAAGTTGTGCGAATCAAAGTGAAAAATTCGGAATATTCAAAATTACCAGAAGTAATAAGACTAACGGTAAAATCAAAGATTTTAAGTTTGAATTAAGCACTAAAAAGGCGGATGGGACCAATTTGACTTCTGTTGCTTAGTAATTTAAAAAATAACATACTAAAAGTCTTGAGTATTTCTAACTTTTCATAATTTCATCCAGTTTAAGCGCTTATTTAAGGGCCAGAGAGGCAATTTAGGTATTTTGGTAGGCATCTAATAACCCCAGTTAGGTTTGCATATAAGGTACACTTTGATAAGTATAAGGATACTCCATTTTTATTTCGAAAAAAGTTTTTAAACATAGCTCTAATTATTCATAGGGAAAAAGAAACTTAAATATCTAAGAAACTACCGTATAATTGTAAAGTCAGTTTAATCAAATATTTTTGTTAACCAAATCTAACAAAATAACATAGAATTTCGCTGACCTTCTATAATATGTTTTTATTAAACTAGTTACGCATTTTTAAAATTTATAGATGCCAAATTTATCTACTTATAATCTGGGAAGAACCAAAGTGGCCCCTGTAGTCTTTAGGTATACAGCAATGAGTTGAATCTATCTAGTAGTATTAAAGTAAGATAAGTAACTCAGATAGGATCACCAAATCACATCTGTAAAAAAAAGTGTTTAACTCGTAATTTTGAATATAGATGGCAGTAAATTCTTAAAATCATTGATGAAAGTGTTATTGTGCGTAGTGAAAAATTGTCTGCATGAATTTGAAATTTTAGTGCTCTTTTAATTTCGAGCTATCTTGTTTTTATCCATAATTCCTATACATCGAATTAATGCGAAATTTTTATTTTTAGAGTAGCGAATAAGTAGTAGTATGTAGCGAATTTTGAACTTTTGCCCATTACTCTGGTTGCAGAAACCCTCTAGCATGGCAGCGGATTCAGCAGATTTTCCCATTAACTGCAAATTATTTTCAATCTCAGATTTTTTTTTCTTTTTATAAATGTAAAATGGAAAAAAAAGAGTTAGGAGACAAAGAATAAGTAAAAATTAAAGATGTTACAAAAGAAAAGATTTTTAAAACTTAATGACAAATAAGTAAGTTTTTCTTATTAAAAAAAAAAGTTATATAAAGACAATGCCCATTGTTTTGGTTACGATTTTACTAGCCTGCATGGCACTTGTAATGGTATGGTAATAAATTTCAAGAAACTTTAAAAAAAAATACAATAAACTAAAATTTTGTTAATTTATTCCTATAAAATGAAAGTATTTTATTTTGATATCCTAAAGCTACATTTCTGATTTCTATATTTGATTTAGCTTAAGCATGTGATTTTTCTCCTTTCGGATAGTTAAAGAACGATTATATTAAATTTTATTTAAGTTTAAACCACACTATGTTTCTTTGTAAACTTTATTAAATATAGTATTTTCAAACTGTGCTAAATAAAGCATAGCAGATTTAATCCGTTAAAGTGCGGAATCATGAATTTTCGCATTCTTCCGAGGTAATGTGCACGCTAACATTATCATTAAGTTTTAAAATTTTCCTTCATTCTGTTAACTAATTTGCTGTTTGCTTTGATTCTTCATAAATCAAAAGATAAATAAGGAATTACTTAAATTTTTTTAGTTATAATATATTTTAATCAATTTGAATTTTGGTTTTTTAATATTTAAAGTGATAGGATTCATAAACTAATTTGATTGTAGAAATAGGAATATTTGGATAGCGAAAAATAAATAAGATAATATTTAAGTGAACTTTTAAGGGTTTTATTTTATATAATTATGCATTCGCTAAAGGCCTGGTTTCTTTAGACAAGCGCCTTCTCTGGACATTGAGGACGTTGCTCTCTGGAAAGTTGACGTACCACTGACGCCAACAAAATACTGTTTTGTTTGCTCAGCGTGAGCAGTCGGTCCAACGCAGATATTATCTCGCATTGCGTATGCGTTAATAACATAAACAAATATTTATTTTGAATTTGTATTGATTTTGTTATTGTCGACCAGTGCTTTAGAGAACAAATAATGACTCTGTCCAAGAAAAAACATTATAGATTAGCTAAACGAAAAAGAAGAGGATGAAGCTATGCTTAATGTTAAAATCAAAATCTTGGATGGTTTCAGTGCTCTGTTGGATACTGTCAACCAATGCTTCTGTCGTTAACGTTACGTTGTAATCAAACTGCAGTTGATTCGGACGTCAGTCGTCGTTCAAGCTGAGCGTTCGATGACGTATGCTGTCTAACTCACAAATTGACCAATCAGGAGTTAGCGTTCGCTCCAAGATGACATTTTGTAACGCCGACCTGCCGTAAGAAACTAGGCCTTAACTCACGAATTTACCAATCAGGAGTTAGCGTTCGCTCCAAGCTGACATTTTGTAACGCCGACCTGCCGTAAGAAACCAGGCCTTAACTCACGAATTTACCAATCAGATGTTAGCGTTCACTCCAAGCTGATATTTTGTAACGCCGACCTGCCCTAAGATACCAGACTTTGAGACTGATTTTTATTACACGTCAAAGCTTTTAAAGAACAACCTTTAAATAAATTTATATTTTTTTTTCAGGCCGTCAACATGTTTCTCTTACCAGTTCAAAAAGCATTAGCCGAGGCAAAAGAAAGGCAATCTGCAGATAGATCGAGAATTGATGTAGAAGCTTCTTCTGAAACTGAACCAATGGACCAGGTTATTGAGCCCGTCCAAAGATCTACTTCATTTTGGACTGAGGCGCTTAGGAATTATCCATATCCACATTGGCTATCATCACCAGCTGCTGTCGCTCCAAGTTCAGAATCCGATACATTGAAGAAGATTCGTCTGCATAATGAAAGGTTAGGTGCCAAGCCAGGAACGCATTCTGATGTTGCTGAAACTTCTTTCATTAGGAATGTGGAAAGTAGTGAAGTTGAAGGCAATTTGCAAGTGACACACAGAAGTCTCCATCCATCAAGATCTCCCGAGGAAGAATCAAATCCTTCATCACAAATTGTCACTGAAGCTGAAGTTTATAGACCAAACACTGGCGGAATGGAAAAAGTTCACGAGATATAGCGTCGATTTGGCTTTAATCGTGTTTTATTTTTTCATTTTTTTTGGAAATTTCATATGCAATCTTTAATTTTATTTGGATAATCTGAGAAATAACTTAATCCTTCATCGTTTATTGTCACTGAAGTTAAGTTTAAGGAACAAACTCTGGAGAAAGTAATTGAAAGAAAAATTGACAAGATATACCAATGATTCAAAGGTTTTAATCGTATGTTTATAGGCAACTTATACTCTTTTATTAAATATTTAAGGATTCCTTTTTTTTATTTATTTATGCCTTTATGTTCATGTATCTTTTTAAAAAATTCGAAAAGGAGGAATATGTGCGCCTTTAGTTTAGCAGTTAGTGTATTTATGAAAATTTTTAATTGTATCGTTTAATCATTTTAAAAAGAATTTTTAAATTTACTTTCAGAGGATTCCTTCACTCAGATTTCACGTATTTTTAGTAATTGGTGCTGTCAAGAAAACTTTTAGATTATAAAAAAATTAAATTTGGAATTGGAAAATTTTAATTTATATTTTTATGGTGTATGTATAATATTTATTTGACTTTTAGCTTTTTGTTTTTAAACTAAAGTGTAATACTTCAAGGAGATCTGTGACAACTTTAACTTTCAAGAGATGCTCAAAAAAAAAATTTAAGAATTTTAATTGAAATACTTTGTTTTGTTTTAATACTTTTTACTATCCATGATGTATATCAATAATACTTTAATTCTGCATTTTTATTTTAATTAAAACTTTAAGGAGGGATTTTAACAATTAAAATTTCATTTATACGTAATTAAGTAACAATTTGTATTTTATATACAAAACATATTTAAGCTGCGAGCCTTTATTTTTATTAGTTCCGAAAAAAATAAAATCTGAATATGCAGAGATTTGACAATTTTAAATCAGTTTACTTTTAATATGCTTAAATCGAAACTAATTATGCGTTACATTTTAAAGGCTTAAAACAGATTAAATTCTATTTTGTTAGCAATTCATACTTTCCAGAAATAATTCAAGGAAGTAAATATTGAAACTCTTAAACTTTATCAGTTTACTCTCAAATACATTTCTCTAATTTTTAATTAAAAGTTTATTTTTAACAGTTACATTTAACGTAAGAAAGAAAAAAAAATTTCCGCAGATAGCTTTATAAAAACTCATATGATGGCAGCAAAAAGTTACTTTTACATAAACTAATTTTTTCAACTACTGTCTGTATTTATAACACTTGGATTTATAACTAAATAAGTAATTCATCGTGACTTGTGTAAATTTAGTTTTCTAATGAGGATTTTAATTCATCTGTTACAATGAATTATTTATCTTTATTTGTTAACACAAAGAGCATGAAAATTTATAATAAAAATATTCTGAGTGAAACGCTTGTATTTTTATTAAGATTGGTAAAACAAAGTTTAAATCTGAAAGCAAATTTTAAGTGTCGAAAAATTTATCTTAATTTTGTAAAGCCTTATCAATGATGGAAAGTTCTTAATCTGAATTTATAGAATTTGACATTTTCTACAGCTTAAGTTGGTGGCTCAAAATCCATGCAATGAAACTGAATTGCATGTTTTCGAAACTCCATCGCCAAGGAAGGAAATTTCGTATTACCTGGAGAAATGTTTTCGAAATTATTTCATTTGATAATTCTTGATAACAAGATTGTATATTATATCAGTTGAAATTATATATTTGCCTAAAATGTCAGAGGACGCTTTACCACGGAAAAATCTTTTTATGGCAAAATCTTTTATCTTAATTGGCCTTGTTAACCCTTTGTTGGTTTTAAACGGGTTCAGCTCGCAATCGAATCGTGCTTCAAAATGCGCGCAAACGAATTACGCTCGGAAGCAAGATTTCAACCGAAATGGTTAGAGACGAGCACAACTCGTGTATTGAAATTTTTCTCCAATGCGCACTGACGAGCTGAGGTCGTTCGTCATTATTATTCTGCATTGATTATGTTGCAAACGAATCATACTCGCGAAATTTAGTTAGTTTTACTGTCTACAGATGGCAGTACGGATTCCATGAATTTCTTTTCATAATGAAGGGGTAATTTTTTTTTTTTTACCTTGTTCTTGTAAAATGGCTCAAAAGCGAAAGTTTGATAATTATTATAGTGATACAGAAAGCTTATCAAGTTTTGAGTCTGATGAATACTTTGTTCACAATATTTGGGTAATCACTGTATTTAAATGCTTCATAAAGTTTTACATTAGTTGTATTTATTTAGTTCTTTCAATTTAATATTTGTCTTATATTTAGAACTAACTATTTATATAATTGATTATAATCCTTTATAATTTACTATTTAATAATTATCATTTATTAATTATTTTAAAGTACGTAATAACTGTTATTTATGTACTACAAATACTTCAAAAATTTTTTAAAAAACATGTGGCGAACTATCTACGGCATCGCCAGAGAAGGGTGACATTTTAGGAAGAACGGAGGGGGAAAACAACTGCTACTTTTGACTACTGTTTACTCGTAATACTGTGCGAATCAAGTAAACGAAAACTGCTCATTTCCCTAACCGTCAAAGGGTTAAAGTTTAAAGCATGAGAAAAGGGAGTTCAGAATAAACTAAAGTAAACGATGGAGTTCAGGATGTTGAAAAAAATGCTTTCAAAATAACAAATGCAAACAAGTTACTGGTAAACTTCTCCAAAACGTAATCCTGAATAATAGTTTCATAATTTCTTAACATTTTCATATTTTAAAATTGTTTCGGCATTTGAAACTTCATGACATACTCTAGGTTTGTCAGAACGCATTTTTGCTCTCTATTTTAAATTAGCAATAGAGATAAATCAAAATTTTTAGATTCAAATTTCGGTCTGTAGTATAGCGTCTTTTTAACCCCTTCTTTCTCGCTCCCATGAAAATGACGGGCTGAGGTTTCGCCCTCTATTTCTCGCTCCAGTGATATTTCCGGGCTGGAGTGTTCAGTAGTAACGCACCAATAAGAATAATACTAATTCATTTCTTTTGCCAGGAAAAAATTTTATTTCTCATTTTGCACACCAGACGGCAGTACCAGGATATTTTTAAGGTAATTGTAGATAGTTTATTTTAAACTAGATGTCAGCACTAATCAGGTATACAGGGATAAAAAAATAGGCATTTTTATGAACGTTTTCTTGGAAATTAACCGATCGTTAAGGGGTTAAGCAGACGGAACCCTTTCGCTACAGTTTAAATGCCTTTAGAAAAAGATCTAATTTAAAACTATATATTGTACCATCTTGCGTCAAAAATTTATTTCAAACTGACCGAACAGCTAACAAAGATATTTTTAAAATTCACTAATTCGGCAAGATTTTTAAGAATATCTCTGATCCCTTAAGAAAATTATCAAAATACTTGAATAATTTTACAATCTTTGAAAATTTTTATGAGCTCAAAAAATACAATAGTAGTAACATTTTGAAAATTGAAAAAAATTTTTCATTGTTTCTTTTTAGATCAACAATTTTTCGTTCCACTAACATTAGCCGCAATTTTCTAAATTAATCTAATAGTCTAAACTAACTTGATCTAATAGTCTTGAATAATTGTTGCACACTGCAGTTTTTAGAATAGTATATTCGCAAAAAAGTGTTTTCTCGTGCATCAACAAACCTTTAAAAAAAAAGTGCCTGTAAAATAAGCTGTAAAATAATTATAAAAATGCATTTAATCTCATTTTAAGAGTATTTAAAGCAGAATTCTAGGATTTTTGTAACGTTCTATTAAAATCAATGCTTAAGAGGGTTTTCAAAAGTAGCTTGGAAATGCTTCTACAGAGAAATGAATATATAGATTTCCGGAACAACTTCTGTGTTCACGCTGTTTGCAATTAAGACATCAGGTTCTGGGGTCACTTAAGACAGTGTTCTCAAACTTCATGCCTGTGGACTGGTACAAGCCCGTGGATAAAACGGTACGGCTTTCCATGGACGAGAGGTTAGCCAGCTGTTGAGAGACGTCCCCTAAAGCTCTACCCGCATGCAATTATATTTTATTTTGAAGACCTGTTTAAGTACAATTAAATTAAAATTATTGAATCAAAACAATTCAAAATATGAACACTTTATGTCCCCTCTTCAGCAGGCCGAAGTAAAATTATCAAACGTAGACTGACCCACGGAGATAAAATGGGTAGTTAGGTAGGTACTTTATTTATTTCACACTAGACCTGCCCAAAATGGCGACGGTCTGGGAAACATCCCTGAGGATGATCCGAAGACATGCCATCACAATTCTGATCCTCTGCAGAGAGGATGGCTCCCCTGCTTTTGTAGCCCGATGACCTGTGCGCGAAGTCGAGCACTTTACGGTAGAACAGTTTAACGAGGACTGATACCACGCACCCTCTGTCCCCACGCAGGTTGCTCAAAGTGGTCCCCCACCCGCTTACTGACCGCAACCAGTGATGCTTGACTTCGGTGTTCAAAAAGGTAGGGAACACTGACTTAAGGACACGAACTAACAACTTACTCTTATGAGATCTTTGTGTTTAATTTCAGCTTCTATATGATCTTGGGTCCCGCAGTGGACTGATCGTTAAGACACGGTCCCCAGCAGATCACCGAAGTCAAGCATCACTGGCTGCGGTCAGTGTGCGGATGGGTGGCCACATAGATCAGTCTGCGTAGGGACCTAGGGGTGTGCGGTATTGGTCCTCGTTAAACTGTTCTACCGTAAAGTGCTCGACTTCGCTCGCAGGTCTTCGGGCTACCGAAGCGGGGGTGCCATCCCCTCCGCAGAGGATCAAAATTATGATGGCATGTCTTCGGATCATCCTCCGAGATGCTTCCCAGACCGTCGCCAATAGCCCATTGTGCAGCTCTTGTGCGACGTAAATTAACAACAACAACAACTATATGATCTTGGTCACAAGTCTTTAATAAATTTCAGTGACTTTTTTTTCTGAGAATCTTCCTTTACTTCAAATTTATCCATCAGAAGATTAAAGACTAATGCACGTTTTTTATGAATTTTGAAAAATAATCTGATTGGTATTTACACTAACCAATCGTAACTTTTTAAGACATTTAAAGTAAAGTCTGACACTAAATGAGTAGAGTTAAACAATCTATAAATTTTTTAATCTTCTATATCATTGCTTTAAATTGTTTTTTAAAAAATGAGAAAAATCTAAGTTATTACGAATAAAACCATGCCATCATGACTCACTTTTCAAAGGTATTCTAATAGAATAATAGTCTATCATTAATAGTTAAATACAACAAAATAAACAAGTTT